TGTCTTGATTGTTAGCCGGGATATGTCGTGATTTGGCCCCCGGGGGGGAGGGGGGAGGGAGGAGGGAGGGGACGTAGGAGGAGTCCCCCGTCATGCCCATCTACATGATATGCAGTGAGGTACACATGTACAGTTAAATGACCCACTCACTTTGGGAACATGCTTGGGGGAGTTTTGCGAGGGGAGTTACGTTGCTCACGTGTACCTGTTGTCGTCGCACGGTCTGCAATGCCAATTTGGTCGTGACGCATCACGAGACATGTACAATGTACACGTGTGCATCATGTGCCTCTTGTGTCAGGAGAGGAAATCACATTAAGACCAGGCAGTCGCGCTGCTGGCGTTGTTGACAAAAGTGAGCGGAGGGGCTGTTGAAACATTCATGTGACGGTACGGTCGGCTCGTGGGCAGACGTCTGCTAGGCTGTGTGTGCATGCGGCATTTTATTTACCACGAGGTAGTGAATGTGAGCATTGATTCGCATAGCTCTGTTTGATGTGTTTTGGCCAGGTAGGTTGAGCTGATTTTCACGCACATTTTAGTCATGATGAAGCTTGTAACTTAATCCTCTTGCTTTGGCATTCAGCATACACAACGTCTCCAGGGATGACACTGTATCTCATCTGAGACGATTTTTTTTTTAATCATTGTGAGTTGATGTCACCTACTAGCTCCCCGGTGAAGAGTGACCTACATGTAATGTACATTTACATTTAAGTTGTGCTGGGCAAGTAGCGGTGGATGTGATGAAGATCGACACAAAATAACGTTGAAGTTAGGAGAATGAATTCAACACCTTGCCACCGTGTACATGTATGTAGTCTACCGTTTATGAACAGACATTTCATGTTTTTGAACTTTTGCTGAGAAGTGCCGCCATCCATTTTTTGTAAAATCTAACTTCTGTCAGTTTATGTAGGCACACTGTCCAGGGTTCATATCGTGCAGTTGGTATGCTACTGTACATGCACAGGGAAATAATTTTGAGCTTAGATTGTGGATAGTCCAACTTGTATTTTAAATGCTTACATTGTTTTTCAGTTTGTAATGTGCACATGTTTTATCATACATACATACATACCTGTATTAACCAATTTGCCTACTTTCACTAACGACTGCTTCATTCTGCTCAGTCTTTACTCTTGGGGCATACTAGTAATTGCAGGTACATGAGTAAACCTTCCTATATTTTCTGAAGTTCAACCTCTGCATGGAAAAACCAATGGCTTTTTGTTTGATTAACCCCAATCTGTAAAAATGCTGCTTTCCCAAGTGTAGGATTTTGAAGGATTGAGGCTAAGTGTGGCAAACGTGAAGCTAATTTGAAAAGATGCATTGTGTCAAGGTCTTTGGACAAACCTTGTCGTATTGATTCTCAGCCCTGCGTAAATTTAGGCTCAGTTTGTACCTAAAAGCATACATTTCTCCAACAGTGTCCACTGGTAAATATAATCATTCATACTGGCCTAAGCAAACTGACAGGAATTGAGGCTCTTGAAGGATGGGGGATGTGGTCACCCCTTCAAGGAACACATTTGGAATACTGTGGAAGATGTAGGCTGTATCCAGTTTTTACATGCAGGCAGTTGGAGAATTTTGAAGGACTAAGGTTGAATCCCCTCAAAAATGTCTGTGGAGTTACATGTAGGGTCAACTACATGTACATGTCTGTACAGTCAGGGTACTTTTTCATCCCTTAAAAACTCAGAGAATGATAAATTCCAAAAAGTCTTCATCAGCGCACTGCCCTGGCCCGTATCATTACAATTGAATACGTTTCTGTTTGGGTGCCTGAGGGCGAGTGTTGCAGGGGAGAGTGATATTCCAGGCGCTCTCATTATCGAAGAGAAATTGGAATTTTGCCCCATGATGGTTTGTCTTCCCTTTTCTGCTGGGCAGCAGAGATTGCCAAGCGAGATAAACCGGAGGGCTGTGGCATGCAAAAGAGCTGCTTTCAGGAGATTCCTCATTTTGGTCTTGTTACCGTACTAACAGCTGCTCTGCGTGTACGTGTAGCTCTTTTACCCTTGTGCATATATAAAACGGCACTCGTTCTTTAATTCCGGGGGAATCAAATTTTTCACAGAGCTGGACATTTTAGGAATCAGTGGAGAGACGATACAAAAGGAAAAAAAAGGCCCATGTGATTTGGCAGGTGCTTGTCCCCAAGGCTGTCTTTGCGATCAATGGCAAGTGGCCAGTTTAATTAAGCCGCACCTTTTTCCCCCCTTTTCGGTTTGGAAATTAATGAGAGTGTACCAGTAGCCAATGTATTTCCACCAGGTATCGGTATACTGTTACGTGTACCTCAAAACCTTTGCAATAGAAGCAACTGTAATTATACCTCCTTTTCCCAGGAAGGATAATTTTTCAACAAGGGCTGCGTTGTTTACAAAGAATGTGGTGGAGTGATGCAGTGACATTTTGCAGAACACCAATGAAGAAAAAACTGCAACTTTCCTGGTACCTGTCCTTCTATGCTCTGAGTTTTCATATCTTAATTATAGATGTCATGGATGTTGTAATCGACCTCTTACTTAATGATAAGCCTCAACAAAGCTTCATCATTAGCATCAAATTCCTTAAACCCAGACTGTTTGTTTTAAGTATTTTGTCCTTCAATCTCCTAATGTTTCCTAATGGTTCCATAATCCCCTGAGCCTTTGGGAATTTGTTTGTCCAGCTTTAAGTGGTCTGGGATGTAATTAATTTGCGAGTTATTATTACTGGTGCATTCCATCCCTGCTTGGTTTAACTTACTGGACCCACTGCAGGCATCGATTACCCACATACATGTACTTGTATTGATCGTCTGTGCTTGTAAGACGTCTGGATTTTCATGGTCACGTTGTGTAAAAAGTTGATTGGGGAGGAGGGAGGGATTAAATTTAAAAAATCTGCAGGTATCCAGTTGCTGCTTGTTTTGAGAATGTACTGCCGACATGTAGATGTCTTTTAAATCCACTGTATCCCTTTAACTCTTCCCAAATGTGGACAACAATGAAGTTACACTCCTGCCAACAGTGAAACTCTGTAATTTTGGATGGGACACTTGCTGTCAGAGCAAAGGACCTGTTCTGTCTCGGCCATCTGGATCTCAATCAGTGACCCCAACACTTGTTCGCACCACCCATCTGGCGAGTTTTGGTGTCTGTCAACCCACAACAGATCACTGATCATGATCCTGATCTATGTGAAACAAACAAGGCCAACTAATCTGCACCACTAAGGCTCCTGGCGCGCGGGTAATGGCAGATACTACAAGCTATGAGCCAGCTATCACTTGCGGCTATTTTACAAAATCCATTTGACAGTTCTGATGAATAGCCATCATTAAGGGCTCTTCTTTCTGAGTATACAATATGAGCAATTATACCACCACACAGTCATGAAATTTCAAGTTTTCTAGCCACAATAGCAACTACTATACATGTAAGTTGTGGGTTCCCTTGAATCACAGAGGTAGATAAGCACATGGACCTGAAAGGTTTCGGTACCCGGTTACATGCACATGTAATGGTACATGCATATTCCTGACTGAAAGTGATACATTTGTTCAGTGCATGTACCTACGTACGTGCAGTTTTGTTCTTTTCTTTTGTACAACAGAAATTTCTGACAGTTTTGCAACAATTCTGCAACAACTAACAAAACACATACATGTACATGTACACAACTGTTAGTTTTCAAGAATGAAAGGAAAATATTCCTTCTTTCCAAGAGTGCCTTTCAAATATTACCAGTTTATAAAAGTGGATGTAGCTGCATAGCACAGATCACTTTGCCAGAGAAACAATACATGGAGAGACATGGAGAGCAACACAGCACTTCAGGTGTGGTAATCATTATAATTCTGTGGAAACAGGGACGCTGTTTCCATGAAACTTGTAGAAGGACATGTACACTGTACATGTATCGCATTTATTCCTTAGACGACCTGAATGTTGGCTGATAAATGGATGTGGGGGTTGCCCATGGCAACCCGGCAACAGTTCATTTCACACTCTATTGACTATGTCAGTATCATGGGCGTCAATTGGTGGGGGACAGGGGAACATCCCTCCCACTTTTCCGGGGGGGTGCTAGTATATGTTTCAATTCTCCCCCCCCACACACCTTTTTTTTCAAAACATGAAATAAAAATGAACTTTGCAAAATCATATGTTAAAAAACTGGCCTAAGTTGCCAGAAATTGTGTCAGATCACGCCACACAGCATCTATACTCCAAAATTTTCCGGGGCCCTTGAGTGGGACCCGGACCTGGACCCCACGCCGCTCAGGGCTTCTCGTTTCACACTGACATTTGTTCTGATAAGGGCTATGCCCCCTCCCCCGATTGACGCCCTTGGTCAGTATCATGAGTCTTCACTGTTCAGCAGGCTGTAAACTACATGTAGATCAGAAAGCTCGTATGCATACATGTATGTACCTGTAATTAAGTCAGAATTTCATAAGTGTGTTAAAGGAAGTGTCTGCAAGCTACATGTACATGTATTTAAATCAAAGAATGTAGCCTAAAACATGTACTGCTATCTGAAGTTTGGTTGATTGACAAAGCAGAACAATCGTTATGTACAAGAATACATCACCAGTTCTGCAACGACAGGAAAAGATTGAATGCAGAATTTGGGTTTTTTTTATCATTGATCGATTGAGATACATATATTTAAAGCAGTACTTTATTTTAAATTCAGGGGGCTCGTCTCCATGGCGCAGTCTACCGTCAGCAAAAAAATCTTTCCTTGCAAGGGTAGGAAAACCCTGTGCTAACTTTAAATTCAAGCCGGTCTCTCAGGTTACGTGTAGCAAAAGAACTAGTACCTGTATATTGTATGCTTGATTGTATCCAGCAACTAAGGATGCTATGCTAAAGTAGGATAAGCTTCTGGGATCAGTTGAACCCTGGAATTGAGTTAAGGTTATATATTCTAAAAATGTCATTTTTTTTAACGGGCAGTTTGTTTTCATCATTTTTCTTCTGTCCACTCTCTTTCCGTAGGACTCAGCAGGTGACTTACCAACTGAGGCCTCTTGTACATGTACATGTGAATTTATTTCTCCGAGTTGAAGACAGCTGGCACCATGGGTGAGTACCGTACTACACGTACATGGACCGGTACATGTACGTGTTTGTCAGCTTCCGCTTGTGAATTTTCATGCTTTACCTGTGTTTGTAATGTCATTCCGGTCCCTGCTGAAAAAAAAATAAATAAATAAAATTGGGAAGAGTACCAATGTACCTCCAGTTATATGTATGTCCATGTACCTGCATGTAGCAAGTCTGGTCCGAGCCAATTTGGCTCATCAGGCCGGTGTTACATCTGGTTTCCTTGGCATGAAACGACTGAGAGTACTTCTATTCCCCCCTGGATGGGATGCCAGTCCATCGCAGGTTGCTTCCCCAGCTAATGCTGGTACCCATTTATACTCCTGGGTGGAGAGAGGCAAGCAGGGGTGAAGAGGCTTGCCAAGGGCCAGCAGCTGGATTCGAACCTCCAACCCTATGATTGGAAGCCACAAACCCTAACCACATGCCTCCTAATTGCATGTACTGAGCTCATTTTTTGGAGTGCATTCCTCTCTTGGTCACCTTTGTCAAATTGTGCACAGTTCATACAAATTCGTACAGATCGTGTACATTTGTACCGGTCCGTGCGTACAGCATTATTTCAGATTCATGGTTTCCCAGTTGATAAACTTACTCTAGCCATGTACATGTACAGGATGAACGCGAACATGTACATAAACCTAGCCATTATTTCAGTATGCACAAGGACTCTATAAAAGTATTTTTGACCAGGTAACGGTACATTGTACCATAATGGTGGCCAATTGGGCCCGACTGTGCCTTCCCCTGGACACATACAGTACAGGCAAACAGCTTTTTATTTGTCCATTACAGAATGAAATTCTAGCCCTGGTTAACCCCTTTTTAGTTGTCATGATTTTGCTTTTAGCATCACTATACTGTTTATGTAATTTTTCTATCCATCTCCCTTCACCCGCTGTGGGTAAAGTTCCCCATGTGTATAAAATATTGTCACATAAATTCTATCGACCACGACACGATGAGTATGTGTGCATCTTCAGCTTGTGAGGTTGAGTGTACTGTTCAGTGGTTGTCATCACCACCATCATTATCTAACCAGATGAAGCTGAAACGGGCGCCTCAGATGGTCAGCGGGAGCCTAATCGTCACAAAGTGCTCATCAGCATCATATTTTCCCCGGGGAGGGGGGAGGTTGGAGAGGGTTAAGAGGCTCATTGGGCAAGGCTTCTCTGCTTCTGCAAATTGACTCGTCTTCCCACGCAGATTCACAGGGCATCCTTTTCACGCATTGGATATCGTCTTACATGGCATGCACACATGCACGCAGCCTCTGCCCACCGTACGTAGTGCTGCCAGGGCAGACAAACATAATCTAATCATGCATCTGGCTCGTCATTTGTTGCAGCAACATTGTTGGATTTCTCGATGAACTTTACGACTTCTTTGAATGTAAATTTCTGTTTCTTTGATTTTCTTTTGGGAAAATACTACACTCAGAAATTTACTTACAGTGTACTTACCGTTAAGTACATATACCGTGAATATAGTTTGAGGAAAACAACTTGCTAATTATTGAAAGGTTCAAATATTACACAGCAAAGATGTCCTGCAGGTGAATCCCATGCACAGTAGTATGACTAACATGTAAATTAGAAGATTTCTTCTAAAAGCTGCACGTACACGTACATACATACAGGTATGCTGATTTCATATTGGTCATCCCACAGAACTTACTTTGTTCTATTGCTTATGCGCTCGTGGAGATGACATCCTCATTAAGCATTCTGTCACAAAGCCTAGCTGAGTTTCCTAGAAGTGGCTGTTATAAAATCCAGTACTGAGCCAAACTGGGACCAACAACCAACTAAGCACTTGATCTTCAATATGCCACTGTATCAGCCATAAAATATGAGCATGTACAGTGTACATGTAGGCTGAATGTTTGCACAAACACTGTGCTCTATCATCATCATCCCTTCATCATTCATCAGTGAAATAGAGGGATACATGATATGTGTGGACAAGGACCATGCACTGAACAGGTACATGTAGGGTACTAGGGCAAATTAGGATGACCTTAAAAAAAACAGGCTACACTGATACAGAGACACGCACCTGTACATGTACATGCAACATGAGGCCGTAAGATCGAAGGGACTAAATTAGAAACGGTTTGGATTTTGGATACATGTTTGCAGCTTGGAAAAACGGGGTGTTGCATTGCCATTTTGTGTGGTTATTTGTGTGTAAATGTACCAGTACATGTCCCGGTATGTAGATCATCAGCATATTGATGTGAAATGCCTTTTGCATATCGGTAGTTTGGGGAGGAGATAAAAGTAACGAGGCAAAATTGTAAATTAATCACCCAGTTTCAATTGGCATATAGTGTATCCTGTATTGCCATTGACACATTTACACGTACTTGTTTTGTACAATGATCCTGGTGATAGACCCGTCTGTGTGTACATACATGTACATGCACGTAACTTACATGCACCGGTAGGTTTGAATTTACAATTTACAACAGAAATCTACGGTAACTGGAAGTTGGTCATCCATGTAATGCACCAGCACATGTCATATTAATGGACACACTGAGTAGCGTTTCAGATGAGAAAAACATACAGGCTCCTCGAGTCCTTAAAGTCAAATTCAGCAGTCAGTGATACCGGTATGAACCGGTTCATTAACTAATACTACTGGCGTCATCCACTCGGCTATTAAAATGCCGAATACAGATACAATACATGTACGTAGTGTGACCATGAAATGTATTTTCCTACATGTATACTGGCGCTAAAATTGAAGTTTGTTTAAGAATGTAATTTTTAAAAGCTTACTACCTGTACATACGTGTACATATACCGCCCCCCCGGTGCATGTACATGTACACGTATGCATGCGCGTACATGTATGTTTCACATCAATTTTGTTCATCTGGGAACCCATTTTTCTCCTCAAAAATTGCTCTCTTTTTTTAAACAGAATTTATTGTCAACTAGAATTTTAAAAAATGGGAAATTTTTGAAAGTAGGAAATTTTGTACATGTACCTGTATGTACATATACATGTACATGTATGTACATTTGCACTTTTGTTAATGTGTTCAGTTTTTTTCACCTCAACCGACCGATCCCCAACCAGCCAAAATCCAACACCAGGGTTTGTTGGAATCTGTTTGGATCAACACTGGACTAGTGTTAAAGTAAACTGACTGAGTTTTACGTGGGACAATGCCATTAACACAGTCCAGTTGCTCACATACATGTACATGTACATTATAAATGTACAGTTTAACATGATATTACATGTATGTTGTTGGGATTCACAAACATGTACATACATGTATGTACCGGCATGTACGGTACATCTACATGTATGAAGAAGGTTCCTGCTAAGTCGCTTGAGGGAGTTAGGGTTAAATATATTGCAAAGTTCATATCAAAGACTCATACCAATAGAAAATCCCACAGGAAATAAAATGTAGTCATCATCTGATTAATAGACATCCTGCTTGTGTGATGATGAGTCTAACGGGTACCGCGTGTACATTAAAAAAAACACATGAGTCACATGAATTGCTGATGTGCCTTGTTAACAGTACCTTTGCTGCTCAAGTGCCATCTTACAGTGTCATACTTTTCACGTAAATTCACAATTTGATTTTAAAAAATGAAGATTGTAAACATTTTAATGATTATTAAAGGTGTCGGAGAGCACTTTCTTGGTACTACATGTACTACTGGGACATTGTATGGTACAATTTTAAAGGTGTAGTCCCACATTTTCTGTTCATGAAGTACCATAACTGACAAAATTATTGTTAAATTTTCTAGTTTACTTTGTTTGAAAAATATTCACGGGACTAATTAAGCTCCATGTAGAATAATTCTTTCAAGGAAGCTGTCATTTTGAAGAAATCAACGAAGGAAGGCCATTTCTAGTGATGTGTCGAAATATGCGTTTTGGAAAATGCCCTTTGTCATTTTAAGCATTGACACCATGCACAAACGGTTGCCATAAGTTGTTTGTTCAGTAAATTTATCAAGCTGCAATCGGCTGAATTGGGCACAATTTAAACCATGACACTGCAACTTTTGAATTGTAATCAAAATCCTAGCACTGGTATATTTTTCTTGAGACCTCATACATGTACATGTAGGTTAGTTGTAAAGCACCTTTATTCAGATTATGAGCAATTTGTTCATTTCAGACGACCATAATGCACGGATGACAAATGACAGACTGTACCTTTTAATGCACAATGTTATTTGCTTACAAGATGTGTACAGGGTACATGTACATTGGTGTACTGCACTTGTACTTGCTGAATGAAAAACTGCATCAAGGATTCCATAGATCAAAAACATATATATTTATTTACATGTATATCAGTCATGTGACTTTTCCTTGGATCAGCTGATTTCCTTGTTTTTCACTTCACGCTCATGCGGCATTGACAATTAAAGAAGACTGTACAAAGTCTGGTAAAGCCTCTGGAATTTTCTTGTGTTTTGGGGGTCAAAGTAAGTCCAAGTTGCATGTCTGCGTATACTTGCGTACATGCACTGGTACTAACCAAAAATATCTCCCCCTTACATGCACTGGTACTAACCAAAAAATATCTTCCCCTTACATGCACTGGTACTAACCAAAAATATCTCCCCCTTACATGCACTGGTACTAACCAAAAATATCTCCCCCTCCCCTCCCCCCTTTCCTAGATGATTTGGGGAAGGCGGTTGAGAAGTTACAGCTGAATACTGAGGAGGGCGATCCCGTGTCATGCCTTGACTGCATGCTACAAGCATTGGAACAAGACGGTAATACCGGTACAGTGCATTGTATTATGTTGTGGCTGGTTCACTGTTAATTCAGGTGATTGACAATAGTGCGCCTCCGAGAGTTTGCAACGACGCGTTGGCGCGAAATCTGTCGACCCTTTCCAAACGCGCGTTGGGTCGACAGATTTCACGCATTGTGATTGGCCAACGCGTTGCAAACTCTTGGGTGCGCACTAATGTCAATCGCCCATATTTTTATGTAGTGCTAGAGTTGCCAGAAAGTACAATGTACATGCACATGTTGGATTTTATTCACCAACCGGATGCAATTTGGCCAAGGTCTGAAACAGTCTTTCATGTCTGGTGTGTGCTTTCCTCAAAAGTGTGTCATGGCCTTAACCTCCAACACAAATGATTTCCCCTGCTAGAAGGTGCCATTCCCAATCAGTGGTTTCCGCCATCTTCATGTACCATTCATTTCTGCATGGCTACAATAACTTTAAAAAAGTAAAGGAAAGCATAAATATTACTTGAATTGCCAGTCAGATCTGATACACGTAGCTTTGTGCAAAATGTAGCAAAAATCTTCCACTCCGCATTCTTTGAACTACATGTACATGTACACTTTTAGGGGCATTAAAATCTGGCACAGTACATATCAATGTCTACGCAGTTGGTTAATTGATATGCACCTGTACATGTACATTCTTTAATTCTGCAAAATCCTTCGTAACCTCCTGTTGGGTTTTGAAGAGTTGTATTAGTGTATAAGGTTGCAGTGCAGTAACAGAAATCATCACGACAAATTGAGGATGAGCAACCTGTGATATGACCGGTGTGGGCAATTCTGGGCCTATTGTTGGCCTACGCTCTAAATTTTCATCATTTTTTGTGACATGTTTAGTTGAGGAATCCAGTGCTCGTCTCCTAAGCCTGGGGACGGTAGCAATTCTGACAGAACAGCTGAAGCAAACAGACAAGGAAATTTCCCTGGGGAGGATCTGCAACATCATTGCTGAGATGGCCAAAAATGGCAAGTCTATCAACTTTCTCATTTCGCAAAATGGTGATATCCACAGTCTGTGCTTGTGAACAACTGACCAATAAGTGTTTCAGTACTTACTGGTAAGCACTTATCCATCCACGAGCCAATGGCCTTCACAGAATTTTGTGCAGGAAGTAAAGGCATGGCAAAGCCTTGTGGGTAACATACAGTACATGTACCGTACATGTAACATGGACTAACTTAATATAAGTGCCAAAAGTACATTTTATTATGTGCAGTCGTCATGGCAACGCACATGTCAAAATGCTGACCATTGTTGTTTCAAAGACAGTGCTTGTCAAAAAAACTGGTTACCATTCCCTTAAATGCTGAGATCCCCAAGATCAACACGGTCACAGGTGATAGAAATGAACAATTTCCCAGTTCTTCTGTTATTGGATATCATCCCAGCACATTGGGAAAATAAACCAAATACTTGCCTTTTGCAGAGAGCATTCGCGATCCTTTCGTAGATGCGGGCATCATCCCCACCCTGAATGGCTTGCTGTCACACCAGGACCAAGATGTAGTGATACAGGCATGCCGAGCACTGGGGAACATCTGCTGTGACCATGGTAAGTTGAAAAATTGATGAATAATTAAAACATGACTACAGGGTGCCTTCCTAAATTCTTCTGAAATACCAAATAATTTTTTTAAATAACTGTTCGTCGTAATTTTAATCCTTTTAAAACGTATGCATGTAATTCTGTGCAAAATGATGTAGATCGCTTCATTTCCAAATTGAAGTCGGAAGAATGAATGTACCGGTTGGGCAGCATCAGAGGGCTGTCTTTGAGAACAAAAACATGCACCTGTACAAATAGATACAGGGAACTACAATTTGATTAAAATTTTTGGACAAGAAGTAATAGTCTCTTCAGAAATGTTGTTCTTCCTCCATGCATCGCTGAAATGTTCCACCACGTGATATTCTATTTGCCAGACGAGGCCCGGCAAACCATCCATGATACAGAGGGGGTAGAACGACTACTGGAATTGCTGAAATCAAGATCCGTCACACCCGACACCGACTCAATCAATCAGAAGGTCCGAGTGGTTGCTAGTGGTTACCTGATGAATCTTACTTATGCCAATGGTGAGCTTTCAGGAGCATTTGTTACATATACATCAAATACAAAATTTGATTATTACAGTTGATCAAGAACTATTTGCTCATAAATCCATTGGATTTTTACTTAGTATTACACGTAGTTCGTTATTTCCATCGTGCTGAAAGTGCTGTTAAAAGGTCCATTAATTCATAAACAGTACCCTAAAATGGACTACACTGCAACATTCTTGTTCTGAGTGCATGTTACCGTAATTTCGGTGTTCGATTATCCTTTGTTTTACCAAAGAACTCTTTGATCCAACATAGGCATACTCCAGACTAAAGTCAGAATGCAAGGGGGCATTGACCTCCTCGTGTTGCTCATGAAGAACTTCCCGGACGACATCAACCTGTGCGGCAAGGTCATCATGTGCATCGGCAACATTGCTGAGCTTGGTGAGTTGTCAGATGTTGCGCAGTGATATAGTCAAGTCCTTCACAAATGCCAATTGGTGGGGTTTAAACATGGCACGTTTGAAATTACAGCTGATAGGCTAGACAGCGCCGTTGAATTTTTGGCTAGAGGGTGCTGCTGCAGTGTACATGAATGTCTCAGCCTTGAATCCAAGTTCAAGTCCTTTTGCCGAACTTGTGCCTCATCTATTCAATTTAATTTCCGAAGTGATTCTACATTCAACATTTTGATCTGTCAATTTCAATTAAAAACACGCTCTCTGTTGTTTCCACTTGGAGCAGATTACAAATTAGTCTTCTCTCCATACTTTTTATTCCAGATGAGAACAAGGTAGGCTTTGTTAACTGTGGCATCACAGAGCTTCTCATCAAGGCACTTAAGATGGTTGGCGATGATGATCAGTTGGAGACAGTCTTTGAAGTCATCGCAACCCTGGCTGAAAACGGTACATGTACATACACCTTAAGTCCCCCATTAATAGAGAATTTGTTTTTTTTCTATGACACTTAAAAGTCTTATAGTTGAGTACTTAACAAGTACTTCACAAATGCTCAACCAGTACATGTAATTACATATGCAAGTCTTCAGAAGTAGTTACAAGTACTCCAGCCTTGATGTGAGTTTGGAACTGTGACAGAAATACTCTTCTGTTATTTTTCACTGCAGTTTAGTAGACATGACGGTACTCTTGATTAGTAGTGTAGAGTACTAGTGAAGTACTTTTTTTGTACTTGAGTTAATTACCTGACTGCTAGACACTTGGACTTGATTAATCTTCATTTTGTTCTCACCTTAGATGCCATGAAGCTTGAGTTTGCCAAGGCCGACTTGGTACCGACCGTTCAGGATGTGGTGGACAATTTCATGAAGCAGGAGTCGGCTGGAGGCAGCCAGTCGGACGAGGACTTTGACATTGAGAGAGTGGCCAGTGACATCATCATCTTGCTGCTGACTGGAGGTGAAAATTTGATAGTTATGAACTCCATTGAACTGGTCTACCTGCATTGTGTGGACGTCTTTTGTTTGCAGGTCCACACAAAGAACAAGAAGCCGGTATTTACACAGAGCACATTGTCCATTTGTCTGGTATTTTAATAATGAGGCCAAAGCAATTCACCTGTTTCAAATGACCTCTTTGCAGATGAGAGTATGAAATACCTCTTCAATGAGGGTCAAGGGTCACTATTCAAGATGGTCATGTCTGACTGGATTAAGTCTCCCACTGACCTCTACCAAATATCCGGTGCGCTGGCTATCGGCAACTTCGCAAGAAACGGTGAGTGTTTAACCCATTTGATATTGCAGTCCACAGTTGAACATTGGTCTCAGATGAAATAATAACAACCATTGACACATAAGCATAGTGCAGAAGATTAGTAAAAAAGTGTACAATGCCGTGTGCTTTTTCCCTTCGCATACTTTTATAACCTCATATTATTGTATCTCTTAATTGTATACTGATCCTTTGAGATCACACTTCAAAGTTACCGAAGCTGCCGTTTGTTGATGGCCATTACCTGAGACACATCCACAACTTTTTTCCTGATATAGTCTCTGCGATGTAGACAACCAGATGAAAAGGTCACATGATCTAATCCGTGGACGTTTTGGATTTGTTCCCCAGTGTAGCATCAACTAACAGTTTAGTCAGACCGTGGACGCTTCTAGGCTAAATGTCTCAATTTTTTATGAATTTTTCTCTGAGCAGATGAGCACTGTATCAAACTGGTAGAGCTTGGCGTGTTGGGACCCTTGCTACAGCTCCTGAAAAGACCGGAAGGAGAGGAGCTGGACATGAGACTGGGTCATGCAGTGCTCAGTGCTCTCAAGAACCTTGCTATACCAAGTAGGTCAACCTTTGTCTTGCCGAGGGCTCAATATAAGTATTGTGGACTGGGCTAGAACTGAGTACTGGGCACCCTCACAAATTGAAAGTTGGTCACCTGCTCTGTGTACATGTAATGTGTTGCCCCACAGGGATGCATTGGTGTGTTGAAACTTGATCTCCCTTGTTTAGAGCAAAGAGCCAACTCTCCCGGATTTTTCTTCCACCTCCCTGCACATGTCAAAAATCTTCTGGATTGTTCATTTTGCATGCAATTTTATACTTACTTGTCTTCTTTACCTGTAGTAAAACTTTTTTAAAATCTTCATAACTTTTCTTTTATCTGTACAGAGGTCAACAAGCCCTTGCTGCTGGAAGCTGGTATCTTAGACGTAATTTTACCCCTTCTGAAATTAGAGATGCATCCAGTTGTATTTAAGCTATTAGGAACGTGCAGAATGCTTATTGATGGCCAAGGTAAGCTGCGTGTTTTTAAGGGGAGGCATTGTTATATGCAATACCAACTTTTGTAATTACAAAACCCACACAGATTTACAAACGTTTCCTAAGTCACACTTTCCAAATGAAAAGAAAGGACACAAAGTTTACGGGACACAAAATCTTACCTTTATGAGCCTTGCTGGTCCAAAGGGTGCCATCATTTGTTCAGACATCAACAAGTTTTGGCAGATCCAGCTTTTAAGCAAAAAGACAAAAGGGTTAAGAGCCTGTTTCTTGCAACCAAGGAAATTGTTTTCATGATTTTGTTTCAGAAATTTTTGTTGTCATTTTACCAATATTTGTGTAGGGGAAACAGCAGTGTCCTTGGGTTGTAATGCTGAATTTATTGAGAGGGTTGCTGACCTCAGTGACTGCCAGATACACGCTGGTGTAGCAGGAGAAGCTAATAGGTATTTTCCATGTTTGATGTTGTCCTTCTATTTACAAAGGAATTTCATTCTAGAAACCCAGAGAAAGAAAAATGGCTCCTTCAGTTTGTGCCAGAGAGGTTTTAGAGACAGTACAGTGTTACAGTCCAAGATCCTAACATGAATTCTTGGATTTTTATTTTGTGAAATTGGATTTACTAAAAATGGAGCTAATGGAAAGTTTTCTCAAACTACACTGGCCTAGCAAAACTCATCATGATTTTGTATACAGCCCCTTAAGCAAATTTTGTTAGTTATTCGTGGTCAGTGTGCATGGGGGGTTATAATAATGGTATTTTTTGTTTTCCCTTGTGTCTGGAAACTGGCAGGTTACTAGCGGCACTCATTAAACACTCGGCCAACACCCAGGTCATGCACTGCATCATTGAGCACGGCGGGATGCCTCGCCTGGTTGCCATGGCGATGAGTGAGCACACACTCATGCAGAATGAGGCATTGATAGCACTCACCCTCCTCTCCTCTACACAGTTGGGTAGGGCCGGTTTGAAAAATAGTTATTCTCTACAGAAGATATCTTGTTTTTCCTTGCTGTCCATTAACAACAGCTCTGCCTTTGCGTGCACTTGCTGCTTAGCCCAACCCAAACTCAAACCCAAAAAACACAACTCGAAACCCGACCAAAGCAAAACCGAAAATCCAAACCAAACCCGAACCAATATCCCCTAAAACCTGAAACCAAAACTCCAAGTAAAACTCAAAGCAAAACCCAACCAACATCCAAACCAAACCAGAAGCAAAATCCCTTAAAACCCGAGACCAAAACCCAAAAAGAAATGGAAGAGGTTCGGACCCTCTGCATTTTCAGTGTTTCCTTACAGCAGTGCTTTTTATATTGAGAGTCGATCACATTCGTTGGTTAATTCAGAAAAAGCATAGAATATTATTTGGTACAAGGAATAACACACCACAGGGTTTTCGTCAGAGCAGTTACAAATGGGTTAATGACCCTCTAATTCTGCCTTCCTGGACTGGTTTCAGATCCCTCAGCCGTGCAAGCCCTCATGGATGCCAATCTGCTGGGGATGGTTAGCAGGGTCCTAAAGGCGAACACCACTGCCCCTGAGATTCAGTGCAATGTTCTTTCCCTCGTGGGCTTTCTAACACAGTCAGGTGAGTGTTTGGACCATTCCATTCCACAGAAGGGAAGATAAATTACCAGTTTGCAAAGGGAAATATTATTCTCCAACCTTGATGAACTCAGGCACGGTTTCAATATAGTTTTAGAGCTTACATTCAGAGTGTTTCAAGAAAAAGTCCATCTTGTAAATATGGAAGACTTGGTAATGAAAGTTTTTTGTATTTTATGTAGTCAATTAATTCAGGATAAAGTTACTTTGTGTCATTTTATTATGAAACAAGCAATCTCTACAAAAAACAGGCTTTTGGGTTTGTTTTGTGTGAGTAGTTTGTTTTATTTTGCCATGGGATTGTTTTCTCAATTTCTCAATCAACCTGTTTAAGTTTCTTCATGTCTTTCAAGACCTTTCAATTCTCCCACTAGATGTTCTAAAAGAGGTGATGATTCAAGGTGATCTGCTCGAGGCAATCAACATGCTGGCGTCAAGCAACATTGAGGCAGTACGCAGGAAAGCCGCGAACGTACGAGAGCATTTTACATGAACCACACGGCCTGCTTCGATGAGCCACTTTTTTGGTGGGAAGAGATTTCTTGCAAGATGACTGAAATGTAGGCCGCTAATTTAGCTGAAGCTTGAAAGTTTGATGCACGGAACAAGGAACCTTCCCCAGCAAACCCTTCTTATTGCTGCATGCGCACAACGGATACAGGCTTTTGCGTTGCCCTAGAAATTGCTGGCTGGTTTGCAAGTTTCCACATGAGGAACAGAGCATGTGACCCAGTAGTGTCACACAACAGCAGAGGAGACATTGCCGAGGTTAAAGTTGCAACACTCAGAAACGAGTCCCAGGATATTTTGCTCCAATGGCAAGCACTTAAGTGCAAGAGATATGGGCTGTGATTATGTTAGCTACGATTTGGCACAGGATTTAGAGAGTTTGGTTTAATGAATGCCGGCGTTACTGCTGATGTTGGCGAAGTCATGTGGCAGTAGAGGAGACATTGTTGAAATTCAAGTTGAACGCATGCATCTTCATTTACAAGAGGATGGGCTATAATTGAGGAAGACACTGTCGCACAGGATTTGGAAATCTGATTAAACGAATGGCAGGAACTCAGGTTTACGGCAGAGTTAAGCAGGATTGCAGGCTTGAAACTTCAGCATTGTGCAGCAGACCAGACATTTCAGAGCAAGGTATCGGAATAAGTGAATGTACAAAAGCGTTTTCACACATTTGCTGGCAGTCCAAGTACATGCATATGAAATAAATTGTAAATTACATCACAAGTGCAATATACTGTGAAGGAAGTCCACTTAACCACTTCACAGAAAACCTAAAGCTGCAGAATACATGTAAAGGCACCTTGTAAAATACATTTAAAGACAATCTGTCCTTGTTAGAATGTGTCGTAGACCATGCATCGTTTGTTTCAGAACACAAGTGAGGATTTTAAAAACGACTGGACACGGCCTTTTTAGCAGTTACAGATATTCAAAAGAGTTACACTTAAGTAGAATGGAATTGCAGGTGTAAAACTATTTAGTAAAGGTGTGTTTACAATGGGCTTCAGTTTACAATCCAAAAAAGCAAACACATCTAAATTGCAGCATTAAAGGAATACATAATGGAAACCTACATACAGAAGTTGGGAAGCTTGAGCACCATTGTTCATTTGGAACAACTGAGTCCCCAGCGTAATTAACAACATTGTCAAGCAGGTACAGTGAAGCGATGCAGAGTTTATGCTGGATGAGGCAAAAAATACTGGTACATGTACCGCAGCCGATAGATAGAGACTTGAAATGCACAGGAAAGCTTGCAACATTACAAGGAATGTGGTGTTAAGCACATGCCAGTTTCATTCTGCCATGAATACTATGTTCTAGACAAGACTTACCATTGGATTTGATGAGGCATGTGTACTAGTAAGTTCAAAGTGCCAGGTTCAAATCCAACTTTGATTACCTATAATCTTGTTTCCCCCCAACGATCGGGACACTGGCTATACAGATACACATGGGACTAAAAGTTGGCTGAATTGGAGAAAGACATGTAAAGGCACGCACAAAACTGTAAGCGTAATGTGATGTACCAAATTACATAACGGAATGTCCTTCAAACGCAACTCTGTTGATGTTTCATTTTTATTGTTGGAAGGATTGTTAGTGCAAGGGTTCCCAATTTTCTTATTCGGACAGGTTTGAGCACTTAAAGAGTTTTGAGAGTTTGGAAGCATTACATTTTGCATGAAAATGACTCAAAATTGTAACGGTTACTTCAGATACCATATATGGATTCTGAAATATTTGTCTATTCAGCAAAGACTGTGAAAGCTACAGCTTAAGGGACGTTTAACTTTCTGTGAAGAGAACTCCTCAGTGATGACTGATACGATGACCTCTTTATGTTCAGAAATATTTGGCAGAGTTCCACAGCATATGCATATTATGTTGAGACACATTAGAACCTTGGATGATTCCTAGCGACAATCAGTTTTATACTGTTGAATGCGCTGCCAAAATTTTGAAGAAACTGAAACTAATTGGGCTAAAATATATCTAGATGTATGCAATGTCTAAACATGTACCTTGCTCACTCACTACACTTAGTTAATTCATGTAAAATGTATGTATTGATGAAAGCAGCAAGCCAGCTGCACAAATGTATGGAATGTGCTACGTCTCATAGGTTGATTCAATCCTCACTATCATTAAGGATGGAAATCAGTTACTATAGCAACTAATTTGATAGATTTGTACTCGTATTTTGTGTAACCGTAAGCTAAGATTCTTAGTAAGAAAGAAAAAATGAAAGCATATGCATTTCCTGTCTACCAAAGCTTTGAGGCAAAAAATTCAAGCCCAATGACAGTCCTTCACATACATGTACACTGGCTAGGTTGCTTTCAAACATTCCTGCAACATACTTCACGGAGCAGTATTTATGATTTCATTGAAAGGAATGCAAACACTCGAGGTGTACTTGTAGGAAGTATTGGTGCTTTGAAGAGCATTCACTTAACTTTGAAGTTACCGGCTACCAAACTTAACTGCCTTCTTATTGTATAAAATCATTGGGAAATAATGTTCAGCCCATTCAGGGTTTTGCATTTGTACGCTAAGCTATTGCATTTTTGAAGATGCATGAAATTGTACAGATAACATAAATCGTGGTCTATAATGCACATACATGTAAAGTCTTGCCATGAAAGTTGCAGCAAATTGCGGGATAAGTGAATCTTCATGTAATTGTTAATTTACATCTAAAAATCTGTAAATGTCACGTACACTGTTAAAAATGAACATGTTGAAATCATGCATAAACTGAGTTTTTATGCAATCAACACTTACAGTCTCTGGTTCTCGATTGGTGGCTGCCTCAAGCGCCTTATCTTTAGATTGATGTTATAGCAAGGGTGATCTACATATTTATATCCATTACCCAGTCTTGGTTCCATCTCGTCATTCGGGATCTCTTTGAACAAATGCCTGTTTATATGCCTGCTCGCAGGTGTTCTGCATGATGCCAAAGCTATGGCTGCTGACTGATCCATTTTGGTTCATTAGTGTGACGTCACCTCAGTTTAAACCACGGCCACCGCAAATCGTTATATGGAACCGGAAGTTACTTAGGTGATTAACCAATTGAAACTTGCGCGTATAAGACGAAGTCACTTAAGAACCGGATTGCGTCACAGAAATGGCAGTCTTTTCACGAAATTGTTCTGTGTCAACAGACTGCAGTAAGCGTGTTCGTTTCCAATGCCACAGTACATGTTTCTGGCCGCTGCATGTCAGACGTTTGTGTGCGGAAGTTACACAAAAATCATGAGTCTGATTGGCCACAAAACAATGAGACGGGGCTGTTAGCATTCTGATTGAACCCTGTACCAGGTTAGCGTCATGTTTAATACGAATGCAACGTTTACAGAAGCCCGTAGTTGAAAGTGGAGTTCACAATACTGAGTTGGTTTTTTTTAATTCAAGTCCCAGATAACAGCCTGTGAGTTACACATATGCGCACAGTCGGTGGTGTCTAAATCAAAACGGCTGTGGCAAGTAACACACCATTTGCGCATGTGCGAATTGAAACCAAAGCCTTAACTTTAAGACATTTCCTAAGAATAGGCCGATCCATTAAGTTGTCGTTTGCATGTCCCGTTGCAGCCATTCCTATAAAGGCTGCTTGCTTATCCAAATTTTATGCATTGCTCTGTTAATTTGTATAGATCGTGGTTTTCCTCTCTGCTGCTTTAACTGCAAATACTGCACTTTCCACCACTTGTAAAAAGAGATTAAACCTACAGATTGTTGCATGCCAGCAAGGCTGCTGTTGCCTAGCAACCAAAGAGACAAGTATTCCAAAGACAAAGACTTTCATCATTCTACTTCAATATTATACTAAAAAAGTTAGTGAATTATCTGTATTGACTTTAACCTGTACAAGACTTGTATAAATTTACTGCATGAATTACAAAATTGGTTGCTAAGCAACCATGGGAAATCAATTTAAAATCTAGTTTTCGCATGCTTGAAGAAAAACTTCATGACAAAAGTGTTGCTTTCTCAGTAATTTTAAAATGTGAATCTTTCCGATATTTTTAAGTACTTTTGAAAATTGAGCTAAAGACACTTTGGCCACCTCTATCTTTGTTAATGATGCTTAATTTCGATCTTTTCATTTTTTAGCGTTACAAGTGTTCAATATTTGTTGTTTGATTTGGAGATTTCTATGAGTGTTACCCGGAAAGTTTTGAAGATTGAAAAAAAATGGCTTTTTAAAAGAGGGCACAGAGGTGAATACAGGAAAACTAAACTGTTTTGAAACCTGCTGTTGGTTTTTCTGAAATATACGTGTCTGTAGACCACCCCTTGCCCTCTTGCAATTGGACCGAAATAGATTCTGAAATTTTTTCGCAGAGTTTCAAACCGATTTAGCAGTGGTAAAAATAAAATGTCCATTTACCAAAGGAGGGTCTACTGAAATGTTTTTGAAGAGCGATACCCGCTGTTGGAACAATATTGGAGATTTTACTGGACCATAACTCACTGTTCATTTGTATGTTGGTTTGCTCCAGAAAACACATTCCACGAAATTACGAATTGTGTCACGAATAGGTGACTTTTGATTTTTGCATGTATGTACGAACGAACTAACGAACCTACAGCTGCATGTGGCAGTGGTTGATATCGTGCAAAAATTAATTTGGCGTTTTTCCAAGATGAGAACAATTACCGAGGTAGCCACCGTGGTGGTAACCTTTGAACCATGGTAATCAAGGTGTTGGTGTTACGAAGAATCTTATTTTACACTTTGTAGCCAAAATTACATGGTAAGGCTGCATGACCGTGCACCACAAAACAACTTGTTAAAGGGGCTATTTTTAAATAGGAAATCTGATTATCGAATGTGTGGTATATACCATCAACATTGGAAGCATTCCATTCATAAAAATTATCGAAGTATGGCTATTTCAGAAGTGTAATTACAAAAACAAACTGTAGTCTGTCCCGTTCCATTCCGTCGAAGGAAGAATACTATGTACATGTATGCCTGCAGATTACACTGTTCTCAAAATACTGTGAAAAGATTAAAGTGATTTAAGCACAGTTTTGATTCTTGTTTTCTGTTTATATTGATCTGTGTATCGATTATAGATGGACATCTTTGTTTTATTGGAAAAGTTTGTTAATGCTTGCTAAACTTGCAGACTTTCGTTGGCAGCACGCGTTGAAGTGTGGCTCAATTACCCAAGAATAAAACAAACTTGAATGGTACATGGCATGTAGTGAAAATAGCCCCAATGCTGCCCATTGAAATAAGTATCATTCAGGATTCACAGCATTCTTGATTCAAGTCCCCTTTACCCGCTAGTCCACGCAAACAAGCTAGACCGACCTCGTGCCTCGTCCTCGGTCACATGGTACCTACGACATAATTGCTCGAGCAATTTCGGAATTCTAATGTCTATACGAAATGCTCATTTTGTACATTGGTATTCTGCTATAAAAGGAAGCGGCGGCGGATAGTGGGATCGGGCGGCACATTGATGGAATTCGAATGATTCGGGAAAATTTAGTCTCTACAGAGAGTAACAATGCACAATTAAGGAGTTAGAATTAACCATAAAATGTATATCTAGATATATACCCCGAGGTGACTGCATTAAGGTAGAATGGAATAGCTTGCATAAAAAGTAAATTAAGTTTTATCTGGTAAGGAAATAGAAAGCACTGCATTTCAAAATTTCTGCACTTTTGTAATCATAAATATCTCTCCAGGTGCGCTCCTGAATTTAACAAGGGACGAAAGGCGAGAGAAATCCATTTAAATTTAAATCAAACCATATGCAAAGGCAGCAGAGATAAGCTACATTGATCCCTTGTACAAAACTGTACAGATTGTAACTAATTTTTTCCGGTCTTCTTTTATGTATGTAGTGTTTTGTGTTACCTTGTCGTATTTATTTACCGTCTGGACGGCTGGAACAAGCCTTGTCAACGGTAGCTAAGGCACGAAAGACTAATGTCACGTGATCAGACTAGTGCTCATAGAACCTTTCCAATAAAACTGCCACTACATGAAACCATTCTCTTCCTTATTGAATTGGAGATCAATCTTGTATGCGCTACTTCATCAGCTGGTTGCATCATGAGCAACGAAGTAGAGCAGGGATCGGTGGTTAATGACCTTTTACCAACTGAACAAAGCTATTGATCGACAGTGTAATTGGTACAAAACGACTGCATTTAAGAGCCAAAGTTTTCAACAGCAATCCTAATTTTCATTATAATTGACTTATGGATATTCTAAGCTGAGTAGAGTCATTACCAAGGAATTTGCGATATTAGGCATTTGCCTGTATCGAGGGATCTAAAATTAACAAGAGCAAATGGCATTACGATACCTTCAGGACCTTGTTGCATCCCTGCAATACGCCTGGCGCCATATCGTCACAAAGAACCCAAACACCATACCTTTTAGTAAACAACAGAAAATGATGCATGGAGGCCGGCAATTATGATGCTCTGGGACAGACGCCATTGATGGACACAAACTACAACCTGTGGTCTATTATACTACTTTCCTTTTAACTTAACAAAGGCGAAAACGACATTAACCTGACTTCTAAATGGACCTTTTCAACAGAAACGACAGCAGGGAGAAGCTGTATGCGGATTGCTATGGAAACAATTATGGACCTATTTTATGCTAGATCTGTTCTGTGGTATCCCGTTCCATGTAATTCATCAAGTGCAAAACAGGCAAATGTTGTATATTAATAACAATATTTAATAACCAGGTCAACTGGACAATGCCCAGTGGTTGACTATAAGTACCCAGCATTTTCTCAACAACGACTTACAAATTAACAAAACTAGATGGCATTTGAATGCTGTCGTGTGACTCGACTCAGAGGGATGCAGCTACAGCTTGCCTGGCACCGAACACACAAACAATAGTAGACCTAGTTAGGCCTAAGCCGATAATTACATGTCTGGTGCCCTCGCAGAGACCTGATGTCAGGTTCAACCCGTAGTTCGAGAGGACATCACAATTTCTTATGGCTATTTCCTTGTTCCTAGCAAGCTGCCAAAGTGATGTCTGTTCCCTGGAACTCAACTCGAGATTTTACTCTATTAAGAGCCGCGCCCTTCAGGATCATGCGTTTCGGATGAAGACTGTATCATCTGCTGTGATGTGTGGGCGGGACTGTTCTATGGACTCTCGGTGTGCATCATTCAACTATCATGCTAGGAGCCATCTTTGTAAACTGAACAATAAAACAAGACTGCAAAGCCAGTGGGCCTTTGTCAAGATGGAAGGAAGCGTGTACTTTGATAAAAACTATGAAATTTCTTTCTTGTCAGCGCCCTCTGTCAGAAAGTACACGAGCTGCTTGAAATTACTGAGAGCTGGTTTCAATGGCAGTGGCATCTACACTATTCACCCTTCTGGTATAGTTGACGGCTTACAAGTTTACTGCGACATGGAGACTGATGAGGGAGGCTGGATCGCGTTCCAACGTCGCGAGGACGGCTCTGTCGACTTCTACCGCGATTGGACTGACTACCAGTCTGGCTTTGGTAACCTGAACGGTGAGTTCTGGTTAGGAAATGAGGTTCTACGCACACTAACTGAGACCGGACAGTGGCAACTCAGAGTATACTCTGAGTTGCCACTGACCTGGGAGACTGGGAAGACAACACGGCATGGGCACAGTACGGTGAGTTTAATATCTGGGACCCCGATTACACTCTTCATATCAGCTTATACAATGCCTCAAGTACAGCAGGGGACGCAAGGAAAAGTAACAAGAAGTGTCGGTTCTCAACAAAAGATAGGGACAATGACATTCACATCAAGAACTGTGCACGTTTTTATGAAGGTGCATGGTGGTTTAAGGACTGCTTCAGATTCGGTGCCCATCTCAATGGTAAATACACCCGTGACCAACCCTCCGTTAAAACAGATGCAGGTGTACAGTGGTTACTTTGGGAAGGACATGTTGACCACCCCTTGAAGGAAAGCGAAATGAAAATGCGGGAAGTGCCTTAAGGTAGATATAAACTTGTGGGTGGTGCGCGCAAAACTATGTTAATTTCACAAAACAGAACCGGGGTTGACCATGAGGTAACCAGAGGGACAAGCATCTGAGGGGGCCCTATTTGAAGTCGAAGGGCTTATGAAGGGACGTATTAAACTACCCAGAACCAGTCTACCGTATACTGAGCTTTGTAGAGCATTATTGGCCTGAGGCGCCCTCCATAGATCATAAAAAGAAAGTTTAGTTCCCCTTTGTGATTCGCCCGTCCACTGGCATGACGTTCTTCTGTCGAGTACTCGTTGAATGCGTTTGTTTCAACATTTCCAAGTGCTCAAGGCTCGACAGCGAGTAACCCACTGTGCTTTCCGCTTCTAAAGCTGTGACGTATTTCCTTCTAAAACATTTTGAACCACCTCTACCCTCCCCTGTACCTGGTGGCGGAATTTATAAGGACTTACCTCAGCTCATTATCCCAATTATGGACGAGGGGCTGAATTAGTGGAATGAAGGTGTCATTGCCAAAAACACATCCATGGTGCCAGGTCCCAAAGCTGTTTGCACTGAGCTTAATTGTGGTAGGGCACCGTGGCAGTTCAATTGCAGATCTCCAGTTCCATCACAATTTACAGTCTCATACGGGCGAGTCCTTCAATATCAGGATTTATGTAGTCATCTGAGAACAAAAATGGGCGGGCGAACCCTAGGCTTCACTCTATGCAAACTTGAATAAAAAAATCTAAATACACAGACTGCAGGTCGGAGGACGAAACCAGAGGTGGGCGCGTCCTACAAGTGGCACAAGCTGATGGCCTGCCGAGGTACGTGACTGAGTAGACTGTACACAGATTACAAATGCCAAGCATTTAAGGGGAGGATATAGGCCGCTAATACCCATCATGCACGTTACCGATTTTTTGCATAATAAACAAAAGGTTCTCAAGCTAGATAAGATTATGTCGCAAGGGCTGCAGCCTTAGTCCTCCCAATTGGTAGTGTTTAATCGAAGGCCGCGCCTACTGGTATGTAACGAAGAATTTACTTTTCTTCTACTTTCATACCACGGTTTCCTAATCGCGGACCGACAACCAATCGTACCCCATACATTTCGGGGCGGCTGTCGGTGCAAACACACCAGTATAATCATGTTCACATCTAAACAGAGCATTGATTTTGAGTTTTTCCAGCTTGGAAAAAAGTATGTAAAATCATATTTGGATAAGACTTGAAGGTTTGCAAGGTGAGGAAAGCAACACTAGCGCTCAGAATTGACTGCATGTGACCATCCTGTTAGTTTAAGAGTTTCTCAAGGAGATTCTTGGGTCTCGATGACTCGCGAAAGAAATGCATTACATGTAATGGTAAACTTAAAGGAACAACACACCACAACTGCATGTAGTGACTTTTAATTTTTAAAAATGTAGAAGAGACAGTTAGGTAATCCATGATGTAAAAAAAAACAACATTTCAGACAAAGAATAAAAATTTATAACAACATTAACACTTCACTGCAAGAAAACACGGTGTGCACTTCGCGCATGCCTCACAATTATGGTCTAGATCAGGTTTAACATTACGGTTCACATTGACACCGCAAGACAACTGACCATAGACTTGTTATAATTCAATGCCAATAATGGCGATAATAATATTACGCCGCGGAGGAAGGACAAAGGAGTTTGAACTGCTCAGACTATAACATTTGGCCAATTACCGCTTTCTGGCATGCCCGATATGTTCATAGCCAGAGCGCAGCGAATGCTTGCTATACACCACCTGTTTCACAACCATAAGCCCCCTTTGAACACTATGATCCTCGCCGCAATTTGTCGCTGGTAATCTGCATCCTTAAAACGTTGTGCACTGCAGTTTAGGAAGTTGAATATTCTTGCAATCGTTGGTGCTTGGCACGATCTGACAACATCAAATTGAATACTTGCTCATTTGCTTTTATTAGGCTGTGTACCCGAAGTGTTCATGTGTAGTTATTGCCCTAATCGAACGTTTTTTTCTATGAGTATTTTGGTAATAAATAGCCTAGTTGTTTATAACTAAGGTATTTTATGAGATCTCATGATCACTCCTTGTGACGAAACAGTGCATTTTGTTATTCGCGAACTTAGGCTAACATGTGGTCAACATGTTGTTGGCCAGTCTATATAGGCCAAATTGGTACAAAGACTTTACAAACTGATATTTTGGAGAGACAAAATAAAATTACAAACATTGCATGGATAATGGAAAAGTGCATCAAAATTTTTTAAAAATTATTCACGGCGGCAGAAGTAATCTAATGTTTAATATTTTTTTTCTTTTTCCTGGTCACTGCGATAAACTGTCGTTAATAGCAAAGAAAATACCACAACTATTGCTACGATGTTACTGGCCCCACTTGTTCGGCTTAGCTGCAAGAAGTAATTAGGCATTTTGGGAATGTTTACTATCGTTCGTCTGACTGGGCGCGCGGCGGCGATGATCATCGAGCACTTTGATATGACAGACTTGTAACTCCTGTATCCTTCCTCCATGGTTACACTAAACCCTAAATTCCGAAGACGTCACCTTAATTTTTTTTACACTTCCTGGTACCTGAAATTGCCATCTTCATCTTAGGTTATTCCTGAAAAGTACTGCAAATTTTCAACATCACCACCAACATTAATTCCACGATTTGTAACACACACTCGGGTTTTGCTAGACTAACAGTCAACTGTGACCCAGATAGTACAGTAAACTGCAAACTGATTTTTTCCCTTTCAAGACATCTTGTACATGTGTATTAAACTCTCAGAGGTCCTGGGGGAGAATCTTTCACACAGATGATCGAAATTTGATTTCGCAATGACTCACAATGACTTTGGTTTTTTACTCAACCTTTAGAACTTGTGAGTAAATATCAGGCTTGACACTGAGGGATAACTCCCCCATTGTTCTAAAACACACTTCACTTATAAATAGCAAGGGTGCCACGACATTCCTGAAAGTGATTGTTCTTATTCCATTCTGAAGCAAAACGACATTTTGTGACCTGAAGTCTGAATGCACGTGTTGCGTGTCTTGAGAGATTTTAGTGAATATCAACAAACAAACAAAATGTTTGTACTTTTGGAAAAAAAGATTAAATGTTTTAAAATAGTACAATGAGAACTATTAATGTGTAAAAACTTCATCTATTTGGCAATATGAAAACGCAGCACAGCCACAATATATACATTTTGTACAATCATTTAAACAATTCAAGCAATGCAGCCAATTTTTACCTGACTGAAAGTCAATGCATGCACAGTGCCATGAAAACCAACATTGTTGGCCTTGTTCCAGCTGTATATGAATATTACAAAGCAAATTGTGGACTTGCTTGTTATAGGCCTAACTCGACTTGGTCAAAAAGCGACGTACGTATGTACCCGTCTACGTTTCCAAAGATCAAAAAGGTCGGTTCATGTACTTGAACCAGGATTTCATTGCCACAGCATGTGATGGTTACACGACGAAGGTCGGTGCATCTGCTGGGAGTGCAAGCCTAAAACAAGCTGGGCATGAGATCACTTCACGCTCCCCAGGTATTCAGTAATTACGGAGGCACTTGGACAAACATATAGAAATGATGTCACGATAAAAATCATAACTGGTAACACCAAATGTACCATAATCCAACACAATATTGGGACCTACCTATCTCACGCATCAACATGCATTTAAGGGACTATTCACACATCCAATTCAGTGAGTTAGCAAGCTGCAGATGCCGATATCTCAAGCTGCACATTGGGGACTGAATCAAGCGATGTTATCTTGTTGAGTGTCGTATGGAAGCAATATATTATACTCGGTATGAAATGGAAACCATTCTGCTGACGTGTCAAGAATATGAACAAGATAGTCTTCGATTTTCAGACAATACTGACGTTTTAACATACGATTTCAGATGCAGCCTTTTATGCAATACACTCACTTTTTTAAAAAGTTTAACACAGCCTTTTTTATCGCATACAACTACTTGCAGCAATAAAAACGCTATTCTAAAATGATGGTGCAGGATCATGATAACGGTGTAAACTCTCAATATTCCTATTGATAAAAATCGCAGAACTTGTACAAACGCTAAATGAATATGAGGCTAGTCGTATGTTGGTATAAGGGGAAAATTTAAACTTTTTCCATCTCGTACAATTCGGAGGCAGTGAAGATCCTCCGTCCAGCAAAGAAATTTCTTAAGTTCCTCAGCCTGTCCCCTCGTGACAGCTTGGCGCCGCTCAGGTTCTTCATCTTGGAGGCCTTTGGGTGCCAGACCATGGTCATGCCATTGGCCGTCAGCTGGAGCTGCATGCAGAGCAGAGACACACCCCAGAGGATGGAGGGGACGTTGAGCAGCCACATACCCCACAGCCAGCCGTGCTGGTGGACGATGGCCACCCCCACATCCCACAGGGCTTGGCCTGGGTACAGAAGGCGCAGGTACTGGACAGAGTAGACCAGGAAGAGAACTTGAGACAGCAGGGCCAGGAAGATGAGAAGGACGAAGTGCCGGTGGTTGTCTTTGGCGATGCAGCGGAGAAGGAAGAGGCAGTGATGATCCATATTCAGCATGCATTGTTCACAGAGCTTACAGTGCTTTGTGCGCTCTGGGATGACAATCTTAAAGAGGGACAAAGGAAAAGACAACATACACGATACGTTACAAAAAAAAACTCGCCCAAAAAAGGATCGCATTTATTTAATTATAGACGAAATTTGAACAAAGTCAAACCAATTTTTGAGATTTTTGCACAATGCAGGTGATTGAACTCCATTTTTTGAGTAAAGCATATCTGAATACAGCTTTACCTACGAGAAAAGAAGTATGCTGTAAATGTACGTTTTTAATGAGTTCAAGTGGGTTCATACTTTAGTTTTTCAGCACACAGAATTTTGAGATTGAAACGTTTCTCCACAAGGAATTTGGAAATAATTGCTGAAAAGTTGAAGCAAGGCACAGTAGGCCCACTTGTCCTATACCTCACAAGGACCGCAGTATTCATCGTACTTGACCTCTCCCGATGCTACATGTCTGATGTTGAGAAACGGTTCATCGATGGAGGGACCAGCCTTAGAAAATGTACACTTGCCCGCGTCACGGACCAGCAGCACCACGTACAAGTACACGATGCACAAGAGCACTGGTAGGTCAATCAAGACGTGGATGAACGAGTTGACTGGCCATAGAAGTGGACAGATTGGTCAAGGGTACAATACACCAATGCATGAATGCAAGGCCCACCAATACCAACACACGTACCCGGTACCCAAAGTCGTACCAAGTCATGTTTATACATGTAGTAGTATGTTCGGCTGGCTGTGTTGTAGCTCAAAACGATCCCCGTGGTCAAAATATTCATTCCTGGGCGAGACCTTTCGATTGTTTCTAGGTACCTGTATAAAATGACTGTCGAATGCAGATCTTCATTAAATGTGTTCTGGGCCACATGCTAAGTACTAAAACGTAACCCTATCCCTCCCTGTCTGATTTCCCGATCTACCTCTTATCCTTGCGTCTGTGAATCCCTTTTAAAGCTTTTTCAGTGGAAGTATTTTTTCCAAAATGAAAATCTAACCTGCTTCTTTCGGGAAAAAATATCTTCTTGACAAACGTTTACAGTGCGGTGTCCTAGCAGGTGGTTAATGAGAAACATGACAACTTATGGTGTCAAGGATATCTGGGAGCACCTTCCAGCAGAAACAGAGTAGTGTGTGAAAGAGGCCGGCCACAAAGGCACCACAGTACACAGGATTGGACCACCTAAAATGGCGGGAAATCGAATGAAAGTATTAACGTTCTCACAATGATTCCATTGTGCTTATTTTGCGATAGCCTGACAAACCTAAATATGAACGATGCGTTTGTTTCATAAATGCCGCCTTCGGCATTTCCTGGTGTCATAAACACCACAAATAATATAATTCTTTGTTGTTTTGATGACACTGAAGTCATTTCAATTTGTCAAAATTTAACGGACTCAACTGAAAAGGCACACATTACACCTCACGACCACAGCAATTATCAAAATTTGACAAAAACATGTACTTGCTGTACAGTCGTCAATGTCAATAAAAGAAAAGTCTGATTTACAAAACTGATAGTAATCCCTGCGATACAATGGTATACAGTCACTGATTACAAAACTACATGTGCCATTGTATCATTTGTATCATCTGTATCATTTGTGGAATCCAACAAACCGAGGTTGTTGGGTGGTGAAGATAACTTCATCAATAACGCAAGAGGTTGTGGGTTCAAGTTCCACTGGGCAGGTCTGTAAGGCTTTCCTCACAGGCTTTCGGACGCCATTACCAAAGCCACAATCCCCTACCTGGATATGTGCCTCAGCCGGTGGCCCTGGTTACCAATGTAGAATGCCAGAAAACAGGTGGCTACTGTGATGAAGAGAGCCCCGAAGCGGGGTACTACCAAGTGGACTAAAAGAATGAGGGCAAAGAAATGGGCCGGCATGGTCAGCATGAAGTACCAGGTGAAGAGGGGGCCCTTGGGGGGCAAATGAGGAGTCTTGGAGTCCGCCCAGTAACTCAGCTCCTTGAACAAATATTGATGGCTGGCAAAAGAAGGGGACATCGAGACCACGTTAATCGGAAACTTTTGTTAACAGTAGTGAAATTTTCATCTCTCTAGCGCAAACTTTGAAATTTCAAACCATGAATCCGGGGAAAAGAAATTGGTATTTACCCGGCGGATCGCCCCTCTACGAGTATCTGCAGCGGTGTCTGGCCCTGGTTGTTGGTGACTCGTAGCAAGCCACAGTTGCCACGCTGCAGGAGGATCCAGCAGGCCTCGCTCAGCGCGTTGATGCACGCTATATGCAGCGGTGTGTTGCCGTTATTATCAGTCCATGTGAGCTCTGATCTCTATGGCAGAACATTTCCACAAGGAAAATTTAAAGTATCAGCCGACTGATGAAACTGGGTCAGCCGTTTCAAAATTTCAGATTCTCATACTTTTAGTTGTATTTCGTTTTCTTAAAAAAGCAAAGAAAAATAAATGCAGAGCTACATGCATTGGCAATAATTTGTTAAACTTACGTCGTTCTTCAGCAGGTATTTCATGGCATCTTGGAAGCCTTGTAGACAAACTAGGTGCAGGGGAGTTTGACCACTGAGACAATGAAAATACAACCCTATTCACCCACAGGCTTTTGCGTATACATTGGAATGACTCCCGGTAACACATTTCTTTTGAAACTATTGTTATAAATAAATTGATTAAAGTTCATCTGTGCACGCATAATGTAACTGTTTTTGTCAAGCAAGGTGTTTTCACGCTTAAGCAAATTGGCCGTTGCTTTTAACCGCTCTTCTCATTCCCACAATGCATGGGTTTCAATTTACGATGTAAAAGAAATACGACTATTGTGACGTTACCAATCTATCACAGGCTAACTGAACAATTCAAACTCTTTTCAGGGCTCTGCTGATCTATTGCGACACGATACATGTACACATGGATTTGTCTCAAATGTAACCCTTGCCCTGTGCTGTTAGCCCTTCTGAAACACATCCGATTTGTGGTGTGCACGAACGTTGCTCAGGAAAACGATCCTTTACTCGACGTCGTGGTAACTTACTTGCCATCTCTGTCATGAAATGCCATGCCATGCACCTCGGACAAGTAGTGTAGGGTTAAGCTGTAACCAAGGAAAGAAACAGGCTGTGAAGCCGTCCAACATGAACGTCTCCAACTCAAAAGCAATCTCACACTGCCAAATGGAGAGGGTTACAATCATATTTTCCAGGGAAACAGAGCTTATGAGGCAAATGCTGATGAGTAATCGAACGCAAAATATAATATGAGGCACTGAAATTGTACACTGAAGGGAGTGTGCGTCAAAATGCTTCGCAATAAATAGTAAGGATATAGTAATAGAAGTTCAAGTAGCTTCGCACTTCCTTTAAGGCAAGTTACAATGCTGCTAAATAAAATAATTTTTATTCCAACTGTGCTGCAAAGTTGGTAGCAGAAGTCTTGTCCACATGTATAGGGGCGTGTGATAAACCTACTGTTCACACATGTGCATGCAACTGGAGTTGTGGGCATGTTTGTATGTGTTGTCTGGGCTACATGCATTTAGCATCCAAAACGGATACGGTGATGTTGTACATCAAACCACTTACACAGAGCCTCCTGCTGCAGCATGATGGAGACAGTTCCTCCCAGCAAAGTCTCTGTGCCACACATCACCTTTGACCTCAGCCTCCTCCAGCATGGCATGAATATTCACGAGGGCCCCTCGTTTACACGCGTAGTGGAGCGGTGTCTCTCCGTAGTCGTTGGGCTCGTTGACGCTGGCTCCATGGTCCAGCAGGAGGCGAGTGATTTTTGGATCACCACGGAGTCCCGCTTTGTGTAGAGGCGTCAGACCGTGCCAGCCTTGATAGCAAAGACATGGAGACTGAAAATTATTTAAATAATTATATTTAAATAAGAACTATATGAAATGGTGTCTGTCTTTAACTTAAGACCAAAAAAATCTATGGTGTCAGCTTGTACCCTTGCTGTATAGGGTACATCTACAACGTAGATACGGAACCGACATGTAAAGAGAAAACTTCATTAGTTCTCGTATTGTGGAAAACGGTCGATGTACCATCGATTTTCTCTAAGCGTTGCAAATTTCACACTGTATAAAGTAAGATCCTTTATTCCACAAGACTGGATTCTGAGAAGAAACCATGACAACGTATACGCCAAGTTATACATGTACCGACGGGTAATAGTTGCAATACTGCCCCAAATGGCTGTGCCCTTTTTAATGTGTGAATTTAATTAAATTAATTAAATTCAAACGCGAGTAGAGTTTTGTCTCCCGAGTAGAAATTGCCACAGGAACTGGTTAATTAATTATTGATTGCAACAGTTACTACAGGATGAATCATTGACAGTAGAATAGTCATATAAACATCCAATTTTGTTTCTGGCAAGGCCGAAAGTAAAACTCGCAAAACATACACCACATGCTGTACATGAACATATATATTTTTAAAATTGTGTCCAAAAATGTGGGGTTTTTGTAATGAAAAGGAAAGATTCTTCAGAGCTGCTCTTAGCTAGCCATGCTTTTCGCACTGTGGATTTTCAGTCCGATTTGTGTGGGCACCGTGAGCCATTGCGTGCGCAACCACGATTTCACGCAAGAAGACGTTATCCACGACGCGGCTTACACGTACGTGGGTCTGAAAGTGCGATAAAAGGTCAAAGGTCAACCAGTACGCTTAAATGTTAGCTTGGCGCCACATTATACTCCTCAACAGAAAGTTGAAGCCCGTGACGTTCGGAAAGTTTAACCACGACGTTCACCTGTCCATTTTAGAACGGATCAGCAGGCTAAACTTAAAAGATACTAACCTAAGAGACTGTTTGAAGCACAGCACTGGAGTGCAGGACGAAACTCAATCGACCAAAGTTGGTTTCAATCCCCCCGATTATTTCCGAACGGCAATAAACAAAACTCACAAGTACCTAAACACGTACTGACGGGGTGCCATTGCCACGGTTTTCGTGTAGATTTTACCTCTAAACACATCGCAACATATATTTACTGCTCAGGGAATACGCCGACGGCCTACATGTAACGGCCCCAATATACTTCCACGGTATCGAAATCTATCAACCTACAATTCGCAATTATCAACTATTTCTGTCTCCAATCACTATATCGATTCAAGACACTTCTGATACTGCATGTTTCAGCGCTGAATTCTACAAACAGAAACCATGGTAATGGGAAAACGACAGGTAAAAGATTAGAACAGGTGTAAATCATTTACAGGAGAACGATCACGAATTGCTATTATGTGACTAACGAGCCAGTTCAGTATTCCAACTGCGCATGCCAACTATGAGGCTATTCGGGAACAGCTAGGCGCACGCGATAGTCTGCCCTTTCAGTGCAGTGTCTTAACTTTTGAAATTCCGAACTGGCTGATCGGTGTGACATCCAAGAGAGTGACAAAGGATTCACTTGGCAACAACTACCTGTCACAGCAGTTCGTAGATTCAGTTGCTTCGAAATATAAGATAAAACACACAAGAACGTTGCCTTGCCAGTGTCCTACTTGTAGAACTCGATACCGCCTCTTTGAGTACGATAATGAACCACAGAGTACCGAAGAATGTCATTTTCGATGGTGTCTGAGAGCCGTACCAATATCGGGCACAATATGACCGTTGTTTGGGCATCAGTACTGTTTCTGTCTTTCATGGCAAAAACCGGCCACTGTGACTGTCTCCATCCTGAGATCACTCCAACTTTTTACTCTGCAAGCAGCCATACTTTTCAAGGCCATGTATATCACATGAAAATGGCATCATCGGTGGTGATCTGTGGGCGAGATTGTTCCATTGCCCCCCAGTGTGCATCATTTAACTACTTTACCAGCAGCCGTATTTGTGAACTAAACAATAAAACAAGACTACAAAGCCAGTGGGCCTTTGTCAAGATGGAAGGAAGCGTGTACTTTGATAAAAACTATGAAACTTCTTTCTTGCCAGCGCCCTCTGTCAGAAAGTACACGAGCTGCTTGAAATTACTGAGAGCTGGTTTCAAAGGCAGTGGCGTCTACACTATTCACCCTTCTGGTATAGTTGACGGCTCACAAGTTTACTGCGACATGGAGACTGATGAGGGAGGCTGGATCGTGTTCCAACGTCGCGAGGACGGCTCTGTCGACTTCTACCGTAATTGGACTGACTACCAAACAGGCTTTGGTAATTTGTCTGGCGAGTTCTGGCTTGGCAACGACATCTTACGAAACCTCACTGAGTCGGAACCGTGGCAGCTGAGAGCAGAACTCGGAGACTGGGAAGGCGGTGCAGCCTGGGCGCAGTATGGTAGGTTTCGCGTCTTTGGGCAGCAATACACACTTGATATTGGCGCATACAATACAAAAAGTACAGCAGGTGACTCCTTGACGGATCACAACACATATCCATTTACAACACAGGATCAGGATAACGATGTAAGCGCTATTTTTAACTGTGCACAGATTTACTGGGGTGCATGGTGGTTCAAATCTTGCTTCAACTCCAACCTAAATGGCCAATACCACTGCCAACAGCCGGACGCTGGATTTTTCGGTTTACAATGGAAATCCTGGAAAACCAATCAACGTTACTCCCTGAAGCACACTGAAATGAAAATACGAGAAAATCAGTAAATATTAGTTTACCGACTTTCAGATACACATGTATCAATATCATACTCTGTTTTGACGCAGCTTGATGTCACAATTATTTCGAAAAATTTTCAGGGGAACTGGACAAACTAAACAAAAACGAACTAAGAGTTCACAACTTAAAAGACTCCCTGCATGATGAAGAAAACCACTTTGGCATGTGTAACTGTGACAAGGCCAGACCTGGGGGGGACGAGGGCATGTTCCTAAAGATTAAAGGTAGAGTACACCGTTGGTTTTTTGGTCGTCATTTCACAAGATTGGCTGATTACGGTGTATAATATTCACTGCGACTTACATTCCACTGACTTGTTTCACCTTTGGGTCAACTGCTTTGTAAAACATCGAGAAAACAGCGCCGCATTTTCAACGATCACATCGAAGATCTTGTATCTTGCTTAAAATCTATGAATTACAGGGCTTTCGAAGTAAGCGAACGCGACATTCGCGGGGTCAGGCTGGGAGACAGACATGACAGATTCTCTTTCCCTTAAAAAGGAGCAGTTTTCAACGGCCAGGGGTAATCAGTGAATTTACCTTGGAGTAATGCGCCCCTTCGACAATGTACCATTGCGGATTCATGAAAAAAATTCATCCAGAAACGCAGTCGACTCGTGTCTGTGACACTAATTTCGAATCAGCCTATAATTATGATAATGCACGCGTGCGCACGCGATCATGCTTAATAACCACACTTTCACGTCGGTTTACACGTCAATGAAAGTCTAAAAACTTCATTATTAGTTGACTATCTGATAATTATTAGCAAAGACGAAAATATGTCTTGAGACACGGGAAGTTAACGCGTGGAAATCGTACTTTTTGTTGAAAATCCTTTCACCCGGCAACTAAACAGCCACCATATTTGGATCACACTATTATGTTCTAGGGGTGATTCTGAATTTGCAAAGTTTGGGCGTTGAGAAAGTGTTTTCCTTAAATAAAATGAAACTTCACACTGATCCAATTTATTTCGTACTTTACATCTTACACTCATGTTCCATAATTACATTGCGTTTGGTGAATTTTTTTCGGTATATTTTAAACTGCTTTTGGTTTTACCAGTTCATTAATGGAGACTCCCACAACATCTGCAAACATTACACACAAGAAAATCGGCGCCTCTCAAAGAATGTGATTTGCGAAGTGAAATGAACTCTGACACGATGGTCGGCAAACTATCGTTTGCACGGCCATGTAAAGTGGCTATGTTTTCCAAGTACGTAGATGGTAGCTCGCGATGCTTTCATTGATGATACAGGTTACCAGGGAAACCAACGTGTGTATCGGCAACTAATGACTATCTTGAACTTTTGGTAATTTGCAATGAAAACACCTGTAAGTCATAAATCATCATACGTGTACCTACGAAACAGCCTAATTAATGGCTCAATTACTTCAATCATTCCAAACCCATCCCCCGAAAAAAAATTTCCTGTGGAGGACGTTGCTGTTAAGAACGAAAAACGTTCAGAGGCACAGGGACTATAAAAAAAATGGCTTACAGTAAAACGATGCAATGCATTAATTGCTGAGCTACTTCAGAGCTGGACATAGTTGGTGTATCATCACACCACTGATAATAAACTGGGAAGATTCTCCGAATCAAAGCAGAAATCAAAAGAGCAACTTATGGCTTCACTGACTGACTAGCATTACAGCACAGCCACTAACAGCATTCGGGGTGTAACCTGGTAACGTATGTGCAGCAGAGGATTCTTGAAAGCAAGATAAAGAACAACTACTACATATACATGTATATCCATTATATGCGAGATGTTCGAGCAGTTAAGCACAAAAACTTCCACAAGTATCGACTAGTCTCTGCAGGCATGTATTACACATGTAAAGAACGCGCAGTCAGAACAATGAGCGAGCTCCTAGTGCATGTCACACTGTTTCTGGCTTTTATGGTGCATAACTGCCGCTGTGAATGTCCACTTCTATTCACTCCAAGATCTTTTCCTGTAGACAATCAAACAAATCAAACCTTTCAGGGTTTGGGGTATTACATGAAGACCGTGTCTTCTGTGGTGGACTGTGGGCGCGACTGCTCTATGGACCCTCAATGTGCATCATTCAACTACTATAACAGCAGCCGCCTTTGTGAACTAAAGAATACGACAAAAATCTACAGACTGTGCGCCTCTGTTGAGAGGCCGGAAAGTTTCCACCTCGATGACAGATGTAGGAATAGGTATGACACTTCTCTTTTGACGGCACCCTACGTCAAGTACACAAGCTGCGAAGGGTTACTGAGAGCTGGATATCACTGCAATGGTATCTATACGATCTATCCTTCTGGCATGGCTCAGGGCTTGCAGGTTTATTGTGACATGGAGAATGACGGAGGAGGCTGGACCGTGTTCCAGCGACGTCAAGACGGCTCTGTTGACTTTAACCGTAACTGGGCAAAATACCAAATTGGCTTTGGTGATTTATGCGGTGAGTTCTGGTTGGGGAATGAAGCTCTACGCATCCTGACTGAATCTGGACAGTGGCAGATGAGGGTGAACCTCGGAGACTGGGAGGGTAGAACAGCTTGGGCAGAATACGGTAAGTTTAGTACCTCGGGCCAGAAATACACACTCCATGTTGGTTCATATAATATCTCGAGTACAGCAGGTGACTCGTTAAGCGAACACAATTCTAAATATTTTTCAACATGGGATATGGATAATGATATAGCTGATGGAAACTGTGCACTGATATTTAAAAGTGCTTGGTGGTTCAACACATGTTTCAGTTGCAACCTAAATGGTGAATACCTGTTCCACCAGCCAACATCTGAACTGCAGGGCATACAATGGAAATCTTGGAATCAAAGACCTAATTATTCTTTGAAACACAGTGAAATGAAAATAAGGGAATTTCGTCAGCGGCAGTAACAATTAACACGGTTAAGGACATCATGACGTTTACACTATCAAAAATTCTTTGACAACTTTGATGCCCAATTTTAAGACTGTAACATCATTTGGAGGATGGCAATCTACACTTAAAGGAAATCTGGTAAATGATGAGCAAAAATTTATACATCATTTAAATATGAAGCCCACATTTCATAAGCAAGCAGATGCAATGAAAGCATCAAATGCAAGAAACTGTGCCCATGTAATCATTAACTACGCAGATCTTGTGTAAGCCGTTCCCTGACAAAAATTATTTATCTTTCTTGTGTGTGGTCAAATACCAAGGTCTCCTATGTTTTCAAATTAAAGAGATCCGTCAAAGATAATGTTACTTTTGTGAAGAAATACAGGAGGGCAAATTCTATCCACTTTGTAAAAGCTGTTTACCAATGAAGGCGTATTTAGAATTTGTTTCGTTGATATGTAAACTCATAACGTGTTCATGGCGAGTGCAAATATCAGGATACACTTGCCTAGAAATACATGTAGCTTCAACACAGAAATAAAATGAAAAAAAAAGACTATGCAGACTTGTCTCCTGTGTTTCTAGTATGCAGCAATTCTATATCGCGCAGTACCCCCCTGAGCCATTTGAAATAAAATACATGTACATGTAACCCCATGATTCACAAAACTGTAGGATCATAAAGGTCATGTTGGATTTTTTTTCTCAAATAGCCAACGGCAGTTAGGTTTTATGTATACATGCCAGTGTACATAAACGCCTATATTCATGTTAACGTCTTCAGTTATTACAATGAATGTACATGGTTAACATGACCGAATTTACTCCATTTAGAATGTCATTAGTCTACGTACATGTACATGTATATGCAATGAGTAGAACAAGACAATTCTAAGGGTATCTCCACGGCTTGACTGATGGCAGAGGCATTTACCACGGCCTTCGTCGTATCTGAAGCCAAATTAAACTCTGCATGTACATACATGTACACGTATAATTTAACCATGCTACCAACATTAATTAGCAACTTATTAGCTACAAGCAAATGGTAATCTATCACAGAAAATTGTTCAGTTATTAAAACACACTCCATGTTGGCTCATACAGTGTCTTGGGAATTGCAGGTACTGTAACTTGTTGGGAGATCTCAATACATGTATCTATATTTACAGCACAGGATCAGGATACATGTCGTGATTATCACATGTACGATTACAGTGCACACATAATTACACAGTGCATGGTTCAAAGCATGCTTTACATGGAAATCATGGCAAAATTACAGCCCTTATTCCCCAAAGCACAGCGAGTTGGAACAAAAGGGCACCAACGAGATACAATGCCAATCAGATTACTGATGTGCTGAGTACTGAAAATTTACTTTATTTTTGGCAAACAATTGAAACACGCTTTGCTATTTGAGGATGCAATGTTTATTTGAAGTTTGATACCCACTATAGGTCACGTGACTTAGCAGGCGCACTAAGTCTATTTAAAGGTTTTTCAGAAGTGTTTTAAGCAAAATTGGGGACTATAAATATGTGGTACTTTGCCTGCAGGTAAGCTGTAAATTCTAAAGAGAATGTCAATCTTGCACAAGTACATAGGGCACAGAAATATTTCAACGATACTGTAGGCCCTACTGTCTTGGAAAAAAACATTCTTAAACGAAGAGATCGTACCGCGCAAGAAAACTAATCACGTAGACTCCATTCAAAGGTGTTAATGGGGAGTTTCAGTTTTATATATTCAGTTATAAATGACTTTGTTTTCAATGAGTGTTTGCGTGTCCTAATGAGTTTAAATCTGTCTTTAAGATGAGATCTTGGCTCATCTGATAATATCCAGTAGGTCTCTTAAACTGGTGGTCAGCTCAAGTATCTGTATAGAAATCATTTTAAATTGTATTAATGTTTTTATTGTGATTACATGTATTCTATAGAGTGATAATCAGTAATCAGCCCTGTGTAGTATTCAGCGGTTTATAGTGATTTTTCATCTGTGTATAGTCATCACTGTACATTGTGTATACTAATGATTGGTAATAAACTCTGTGTAGTAATCATTGTCAAGTTGTATTTACATGTACTTGCATAGTAAAGTGATAATTCATCCCTGTATAACGATCATTGTAAACTGGTATTCGTCTATTTAGAGTAATTTTTGTCTCTGGAAAGCTCCGTGTAGTATTTAGCCGTATATTTCAAATATTCATCTCTGTACAGCTATCGCTGCAAAGTGTTATGAATCTCTTTAGAGTGATATCTCATATATGTAAAGTGATCACTGGTATTAAGCTCTGTGTTGTGTTCAGACGTGCTAAGTGAGTATTCATTATTGTACATGTACAGTGATCAGTGTTAGCAACTTCAGAGTGATATTTCATCTCAATAGTGTAATCATCTCTGCTGAGTTCTGCTTAATATTCAGCTGTGCGAGTATTCGCCCTGTATAGTTATTACTGTAAACTACCATTCATCAGTGTAAAGCGTTCAATCGTATTCAATCCAGTAGAGTGAACTAGAATGCATAGAGTACTCTGTTACGTTAACTGGTATTCAACTCCGTGCTTCTCTGTTCATATATGTGGTTGTTCAGTTCTTTGTAGTATTGAGTAAGTTGATGTATAGTGATCATTCTCTATAGCAATAATGTTGTGAGCTGTTATTCAACTCCTAGTAAATGGTATCCACGTATATCTCTTTATATATACATGTGTATAGTTATCATTGCAAATTAGCATTCAACTCCATGTAGTATTCAGCTTTGTTATGTATAGTGATCGTCTATTATTGTAAAAAGAAAATTCATAAAAAACTGTTATTAACCTCTTTTGTAGAGATAACTGATTTCTGCCGGGTGATCATTGGTGTCCAGTGCTGCGTACATTCAAATTCGTGTAACGGTCATTCTGTATAGAAATTCTTTTTTTTTCTGTAAATTGATATTTGGATCAAACATTGTAAACTGGTATCCAACTTGGTTGTGCATGCATTTAGCTCTGTTCTGTGATATGAATGTTTGTACGTGTACAGTGACAGTTCATATCTTCAGAGTAATCATTCCTCCGTTAGCACGATCGAGAATTTGTATTCAACTTTTTAAAGTGATCACCGTAAACGTCTTCAACCTTGTGTTGTAAATTGCACATCATGTATTTTTGCTCCGTATCGCAGTTTACTGTTGCAATCATTCCAAACCAGTATTTAGCTAGTAAATTTATTGCAAACTTTTAGTTGTTGGAAAGTGTATCACTGTAAAAAAAATTCCAATTTGGTTTTATCTCGTCTACATAAGTTATGATCATTGTGAATTGACATATTCTCTCCAGACTTGTGGTGAAATTTCTTTCATTCCCAATTCAAAGTGTATCAGCAATTAGACGTGAAAGTACAGTAGAAGTCAAGAAAAATTTCCATGAGCCCTTAACCGTATTAATTTTAGTTTGTTGCGATTTGCTTTCATACATGTAGAAATAAAATTGGTCTGAGATATTGCAAGGGAAATAGGTGTATAGCATACATGTAGTTGGATAATATGGCATGTTCAAGGATTAGTTATATGCCTGTGCATTGCTAAAAATATCATAATGTGAATGAAATTTGACTCTCATGTTAAGCTGGCCTCAGATCTTACAACGACAACCATCCACTTCAATGAATTTAGAGCAATGTGAAATAAGACAGAAGCTCACAGAAATGTCGCGTTGATGTTTTCAAATCAATGATGCACCCAGTTTTTTAAAAGTAGCCAAAACTACATGCACATTTGTACAAAAGAAGTAATTTATAACTTTACATGAAGTTTGGAATACACTTTATGTAACTTGGATTTTTAGCATGAATTTCAATGAAGTTTAAGGTTTTAACTAGAAAAAAGGACTGTTTTAACAAACTAGTCCGGATCTATCAATGATCTCAATGTGCGCTGTAACTTTAATGTTCGATGTTAGGCACCGTACTGTAAAAGCAAAATACCGATGCTAAACATGTATGTACAAAAATTTTTAATACCAACTTGGGTCGGACATGTAGATTTCAGGCAAAATTCCAAGTTTCAGGCACAGCATACACGTACATAATATGCAGATTCAACACATCTAGTCAAAGTCCTATTGTTCTTGAATGTACTGAAGGACATGCACGTTATCATTTTTACGGGTCATGTCAAACTGCAGGAAATGTTTAAGTCAATCTGAAGAGGTAACATTGTTTATGAATAAAGCACAATTCAAGCTCGGTAAATCTCTTTTCAATTTGTGTCTGCCTACATTTGCTTAGGTTTGCAATGGGGCTTTGTACTGACAATGTGACACTTTGTAATACACCGAGTGCACTTTCCCACAAACCAGTCGGGGCTCACGGTCTGCTGAATTCCAAAGGGAAGCTCACATGTAAATAAAGTGTCGTCATCAGTTCAGAGCTCTATTTCAATTGTTGAATGTGTGTTATTATGTGGTTAATCAGAAGTCACTGCGAGAATGTATGGTATGGCAGTTACAATGGGCGGAAATGCGCTGTACCTTAAGCCCTGATAAAACTAACAAGGTTGATGGAGTACACAATTACCTTTATTCATCCAAGTAAATAACAGCACCTTGTGGCTGTGTCCGCCTTCAGTGTTTGAAAAATACTTGTGTAAAGTGCAGTATTGTACTTACCTGCATAGCAAAACTGGCGCCGGTAACACCCCCTGGCCAATTCACAACCTAGTCAACTTGCCCCTGGTCAACTTACTCCCTGCAACTAACTACCAGTTCTCCCCTACCAACTTGTCCTCCCACCATTTTATGCCTTTCACACCCCCCATCCCCTACCCCCTGGCTGCCCCCCCCCTGAGGTTAACTGGTAATCTTGCTTCCTCGCCATCTTAGCTTGGCCTACTCCTTGGCCAACTTAGTTGTCTGGTTTAGGACATATGTTAATAAGGCTGGGCCTACCAACCTCATTATTTGCGACTGGCATAAGTCTCAACACTACATTTTGTGGGTACGCAAATATTGAGATGGGCCAAAACTTTGAAAAAACACCATTTTGTTTCAAAAGCGGGTGAGAATATTGTACTTTTCTCCCATCCCCCTTCTTTTATCAATCAAGTAAAGCTTGACTGGTATCAGTGTGGGGTTCGTAGGAACGAGACCAATCTCTGATTCAACAAAACTTGCCTTTACCGAGGGTTGCTGCTTCATCTTCTTAGAACCTCATTAATAATTAAGAGGTCCTTCGGACTTGGCAAATTACCCTGTTATTACAGGAACCTTATGAAAACAAAAGATTGGGACCTAAACTTTCCTTGTTATAAGCAAAATCTTGTATTAACAGTGCTCTTATTGACAAGGTTCAACTGTAGTCACTACTACAAATAGAGGGCCTCAAGGCACAAAACAATTTGCATTTTCTCCAAAAATAATGAATTTGGGCCTGGCCTACACAGTACATATACATGTAGGCCTACAGCACAAAATTTGAAAAAATGACAAAAATTGTCTGTGATGACTGTCAAACTCTGTGCACATGGCTTGGAAATGGCAGACATGACTTGAGATGGCTGATTTACATTTAACGTTAGGCCTAACGTTTAATAAACTTAAGTGACAAAATCTTTGTCAGAGCCAAAAATAAACTGGGTGTCCACAAACACTTGTGTATTTATTACCATTTAAGCCTACATTTACCATAACTGCCATGTCAACAATTTAACGTTAGTCATATTTGTTATCACTGATAAGCACGATTATATGAGTATCACCTTTTCTGTGGACAGCATCCGGGTCCTCTTCAAGAATTTGGATGATTTCATCGTACCCGTGGAAATTGTGAACAGCATCTGCGAGCGACACTTTCTTGCGTTCGGTCACAGTCGCAAAATTAGCATACGGCTTGGTACCAATTGGGGGTAGATCCATTCTTGATTTCAAAGACCAGATCGATGCAACTACGATGGCAAACGTTACATGTACAATGCACGAAGACCCTCAACCATGGGCGCAGCCATGTTTTGGGGGGAAAATAATGTCATCGTGTTTATGTGCGCGCGAGCATGCGCGGGTGCGACGGCCGTCGATGTGCTGAGCAACGCGAGGTGGCGCTCGTCAATATTTGCGTTCCCTCCGCGCACGTACGTACGTATTCACAGACATCCCGCAGTCTGGTCCACTCGACGTAATGCGGCTGTATCCGAATCTCTTGTCTAGAGCTAGGTCTAGGTCTTCGCCCCATTGGAAATGCGTGGAGACGCGTAGACAATAGACCTAGCCGTAGCTCTTGAAGCCAGTTTCGGACTCGACACGGCCTACGTGTAATATTACACACCGAGGGCGCTGCATATGCACAGGCAAAGTGGTGCTACAGTTGTACATGTACGTAGCACGTGTGCAATTCTGTGTAACTTCTTCGCATTTCGATTGAAGCAGATCAAAGAAGTCTCAGCTGCTGAAAAGGTTTGGTCTTTTCCTTCCTCCCTCCATCAGTTGTAAAGTGTAGCTATTTTCAATCAATTTACGTTTGTCTTGAATCTGTAATTTTGTCACTGTTTGTACCTCATACCTAGAGCCTTAGCACCCATGATCGTACGTACATGTATGCCCGCGGCCGCACGGACTACCGCAACAATACCATGACTACACCTTTGAGACACGAGGGGCCCAAGCTGTGCAGCTCAGTTGATAACTATAAAATTTGCCATTCGCTCAATACAATCTCTAAGCGTAATTTTTAAGAGTTCCATAATTGGTGGTATCGCATTCAGAACTCTTTCCATCCAACAATGATATGATCACGGAGGTAGTCTAACATGACTGGGCTGCATGAAAAAACCCACAGCATTATGAACTCATAAAAAGTTGGCCCAGCACAGTAGGCATGTAGGGCCGTAAGGCTGTGCCTTACAGTTCCTGAAGTAGGAGGCTCTTGCCATGCCTAACATTACGTAGCCTGTGGCTCTAGGAGTCTGACAACTTTTTGTCACGATCTGTTAATAGGAAACAGATCACGATAGTTCCCTTGTTTATATGTCATTCATCCTGTTTACATCAAAGAGAAGGCAGTGGCTAAGAATATTTCATTAATCTTTTCCAAATTCTCAAGGGCCAACCCGTGTCAGATATAATTACTGAAAAGTAATGTCGGTAATGATTTATTTTGCAATTTTTTATCTTCTTTTGAAGTGTTTTGGTGTTTTTCTTTCAGCAGTAACTCAATCCCACCATGAATGGCCAATCAGGTCTTCACCATGTCACCAGCGATGACAAGAAGAAGAAGCGACAGCGGCTGAAGAAGTTGCAGGCCGATATCAAACAACAGGTGGAGTTTTACTTCAGTGATTCTAACCTGCGTAAAGATCGTTTCCTTAAGCAGGAAATTGACAAGTCTGAAGATGGATGTGAGTACCGTGCAGGCGATTCACAATGCACTGCCGCCACCAAGAGGTTGTCACGGAGAGGCCATTTTTCAAGTTTATGGTCAACAACAAAATGGCTGACTTGCCGCAATTTCCATTCAGTGAGCGAATGTCAATACACAGTTTCAGGAAATGTGTGATTGATCGGAGCATTTTGTGCCTCACAAAAACCTGTCATTAATCATCACTAATACCCTAAACACTTCCAAATCTTTAAACCTACTCGACAAAAACAGTGGGACTAATTCAACGCAAAGCACATTCCGCACCAAGAACTTTTGTTGGATGTCCCACAATGCACCGTGAAAAAGGTCTCTCTGTGGCAGCCGCTTGGTGGCACATGCTTATGTGAATTGTCGGTATTAGTAGAGGCAAGATTTTCTTAAGTTCACATCAGAAATGATAATAACAGCCTGTCAGGGCATCACTGTCCCTAGATAATTTCATTTCAGATTGGGATGAAGATGGCGTTATTCAAGTGTACTGACAAATACTGCCTTTTGATCTTCTTTTGTCCCTTTTTTCCACTAGGGTATTTTGAAGCTGAGCCCCACAATGCCTTGTCACTATTTATGTAGCAATATGGACTGACAACAAGACAGTTACAATCCTTTTCTTATCCACCTGACTACATGATCGAACAACTTACCAGTTCCTCATGTTTTTTCTGCTATTTTTCCCGTGGTACTTTGAACTAAGTGGTGTTTTGTGCTTCTCCTGACAGATGTTAACATTGCAACCATCGCAAACTTCAACCGAATGCGGAATCTCACCACGGACGAATCGCTGATAGCCAGGGCACTGCGGGACTCTGATTTGCTCAAGGTAAGACTACCCTTAAGATAAGCTGGTAGGATTTGCGATAATGCTGTGGCAAAGAAATCTCTTTCGGCAAGAAGTGTGGTGCTGAAAAGAACAGGTGGTGTGGGCTTAACATTTCGACCAGTAGCTGGCCATCTTCTGGAGAAATGGTGGACTGGTCGGAGGAGGGGCGGAGTAGCACTGGATGATAACTAAACAGTGGGTTGGTGCTGAAGAATCTCATTGGCTGGTCTGCTGTCTTTAGAATGTTGGTAACTTAGATGTGACAGAGTATGCTCATTATGATGTGTCGTCAGTACCAGGTGGGGCATAGCAGCCCCATGTGCTGAATAGTAGGTGGACTCTGGTGGAGTACATGTGGATCCTCTCTATTCATGTTCATCCTGCCCACAACCCGGGATACACTGAAGTTGACTTAAACTCAGCTTTCAAAACTGAGTACATGTACTTGCATCATTCAGCAGACGCGTGTGCAATTTTCCTAAGGCATGCACCAAGACATTGGGGCAATGTCTAATGTTCTTTTTTTGGGTGTTCCCTTGCTAGGTTAGCGAAGACAAGACCAAGCTGCGGCGAAAGACACCGGTTGAGGAACCGAAATACAACATTGACGATGTCACTGTCTTTGTGGTAAATCAATGAATAGATTATGATTTTGAAACTGTGCCTGCTGGATTGTCCGAAATTGTGTTTTGTGGACTGTGAACAGTCATCCATTTTGTGACGGTATCTAATGTTGAAAGGACCACCCTCTTTTTGGTGCTGGAGGTGAAAAGAATAAGTACTGAAGAGTTTGTAAATCGCAGTACTAGTCTCGTTTCTCCTGTTTTTATCAAGGAAAACCTGCCTCACAATGTTGACCATGACATGCTTCAGAAGGCCTTCAGCCCTTGCGGTATCATCGACTACATCAGCCTGCCGAGATACAAGAAGACTGGCGATCCCAAGAAGTTTGCATTTATCGAGTTTGCAACTCCTGAAGGGGCAGTGAAAGCCTGCAAGGTGAAAACATGGAGGCTTATTTTCATTGACTTAATCAGGAAAAACTGGAGCAATACACTTACAATTTGTTACCATTAATTTATCTTAGTGTGGTCTTTTTACACATCCACTGTCCATTTGTTCTAAATCTTTAAAATTAACTGTCTAGTCTTTCCCAACATTACTCTAATTAGTAATTTTGTTTATCTTTCAAGCTCTTAAATAACCCTCCAAGAGACAAGCCTAAACCTGATGGTCACTTCCCAACAACGCGGAAAGGGCGTCTGATACTACCACAGCAGGCAGAGGCGTCTGAGCTGCAACTGAAGAGCATGAAGTTAGAGAAGTACGGCAAACAGAAAGTAAGCAAAAGGAAGAGGGAGGCAAGTGGAATGGAAGAGACATCTCCAGAAGCCAAGAAGGAGCAGATACCCAAAAAGAAGGAGGCATCTTCATCAAACAGGAAGCGGAACATTAGTGAAGAAACCAAGGAAGAGACTGAGAACAGAGGACAGCTTGAGAAGAAGGCTAAGACGAAAGCAGAGGCATCTCAGGGAGAGGTTTCAAAGAAGCATGATCAGCAGCCCTGTATTAAAACCAATCAAAGGAAAGAACAGAAAATGGACTCCAGGAAGAGGAAGCACTCTGGAGGGGACGACACCCTTGAGAAATCATCACACGGCAGCAAAAACCACGAGGCCAGGTCACACAAAGATGATAAGTCAGACATGGGGGCCAAAGTTGAGAGGTCGGCTAGGGACACAACCAAGAAGGTTGCCGGCTCGGAAACTCATAAGAGGAAACGGGAAGATTCTGAAAGCAGCGGGGAGGCTTCAAAGGCCAAGAGGTCATCATCAGGTTCTCACAGAGACAAGGATGGTGTGGAAGATGGCAGGGATGCTAAGAGGAGGAGGGCGGAGTCAGAAATGGAAGAGGAGGATGGAGACAAGAAGAGGAAGAGAAGGAGCCGGAGTCGTAGAAACAAGAAGGAGGAAGGAAAAACTGCTCCTCTGATGCAGCTCAGAGTCATTCCTAAGTAAGCACAAGCTTTATAAACACTTGTAGTTAAAAGAAAAATGCACATTACGTGGGATTAATTTTGGCAGAACTTTATAAGCCCTTTAACCCTAACCCTCGCTTGTCCTGCACTACAAAGCAAACTCCAACAGAGTGACTCGGAGTTTGAGTGATATGGTATGGATGGGTCTATGCAGTATAGGATGACTTGCACTGAACAGTACCAAACCTGACAAAATCAAGCATAGTCCAACAATTGGTACAGCAAGCCAAACACTGCACAAAATGAACCCTGTGTGTCCAACGCACACAGAATCCAACACCATCTCCCTGGGCCTTTCATTCCAAGTCTCTTAAAATTCAACAAGTTCATCAGGTACAGTACCAAACCAGCCAAAACCTCACAAAACCTGCTGTCGGAGTGTGGCAGGTTTGGTATAGTTGGTACATGTACACTGGAAATCAGTGCTCACTGCCAACACATAATGTCTGTGTTCCCACATAATGTCTAATTGAATTGTTTGATATGCCAAATGACAGGTGCCTTTTTGTGTTGCAGGTGTGAATCTGCAAATGTAGATCTTTTTTACAAATTTAAAACAACACGTTTCAGTTTCATGTAGATGCAAGTCAAACAAAAAAAGTGTGTTTCTGCATCTTGCTTGCCATATTTGCAAGTGGTCCTGACACAAAATTCACAGTTGCTACATGTTTCCCCACAAGAGAGTGCAGGACAAATGCATGTTTCACTTTCAGCCACTTTTTGAATGGCAGACGGTTATTTGGTCATGTGTGTAAATCTGGCTCGGTGATAATTACAGAAAGGAGTGGTTGGAATTGAAGGCGGAATATCTCACCCTTCAGAAGGCCAGCCGGCAGCAGATGAAACAAGCGCTTCAAGTAGAATGGGCCAAGAGAAAAGCACGACTAGAGTCACAGTCACCAGATAAGAAGGTACCAATGGGAGTTGAGGAGAAATAAGCTGTCTGAAATATCGCAGATCTTCTATGAGGTCTTTGTACATTGGGCTGTACTAGAAAAACAGAAGATAGTTTGTGAATGATAACTATTCGCAGAAGTCGATGGCCCAAATTTAGCATCTCGAAGCAGTCACAGTTATCCAGTCTACTAGTAGCAGGAATGTTGCAACCAAGAAATCTTTTTGCCGTCGTCCATTCCTTTTACTTCAGTGTCTACCCAAACTCTGCAGTGGTGTTCCACACACTGGGTGAAACCTACAAATGTTGGACCAGATGTTGCATTTGTTTTTACTTCGTTTGTTTTTTTTTCCACCAGGTAGCTGAAGTGAAATCCGCCGAGCCAGAGTTCCATCCCGGTGTAGTGGTCAAAATCAAGAGTGACAAGCCATTTGCGTCTCGCAAAGAAATCCGAGTAAGGAATGATGCTCTTGTAACTTGCATGTACAAGTAGCAGCTCCAGAACTTAAGATTCTGTTATCACGAGCTCCAGCTGTGAAGAAATTTGTAAATAGCCTTTCTAGCAAGTGTGATAGAATTGTGAAACAGGCCTGACCATAACTTTGGAATGATTTCTCACAGGAACAGTTGGAAGGGATTTCCCCAGTGGCCTACATTGAGCTGAATGCTGGGGACACTGGTGGCTTCATACGACTGCAGTCTGCAGAGGGTGCACAGGCAGTACTTGGAAAAGCCGGCAGTCTTTCCAATGATGGTGGTTCAGTAGAACTGAACCTGTTGACAGGTGCTTATCGGCTGAACATTTTTGTTGGGTACATGTATTTATATACTAAATGTGTCTTCATTATATGCAGTATTGAAGACAGGTGTACAGAAATAGCCGTGAAAATGTTTGAGATTATGGGTAAAAGAACATGAACCACATTTTCCATAGGGCTCCTGTGAAAAAAAATCAGTCCCTTTTAAAAATGTTTGATGTTGCATGAATATTTGAGTCTTGAAAAAGTGAGGAATTTGTGAACTGGTCACTTTTAAAGTGTAGTAATTTCCTTGCGTGTCTCCCTCATTACAGGAAAAGATGAGCAAAAGTACTGGGAGAAGCTTAGAGCTGATAGAGTGGCCAAACTGAGCTCTAGTAAGAAGAGGAAAAATAAGAAACGTGGCATCGAGCGGGTAAAACACAACTACATGTATTTCATAAAGAAAAGAAATAAGTCGAAGATCTTCTGGAATTAAGAGCATTCCAGTGGCTTAGATTCACTTTGGTCGCAGCAGAACTGTTTCAAGATTATCGTATGAGATGAATTGTTTTCACTTCATCCTTTTCAAGAATATTTTTGAATGACAGCTAAAAAAAAATCTGACACTCTAAACAAGAAACATGAAGGGCTTGTCAAGGGGAGTAAATTCCCATGATGATTAGAATTGGCCGAGAGTTGGTTTATTTAGAAAGCATAGGTGTTTTTGCCAATGTTGTACTTAGGAAAGCTGTGCAGTTTGTTCCTGAAATACCAATCTCTCATTTGGACAGATCAAGGAGAAGTCTGAGAGGGTCCTGGGCACTGACAAATCTAAAGGGGACCGCATTGTCTTCGAGGGTGATGACTGAATAGATGCCTGAACACTGGCGACAAATTGGCTCCGTTGCCGTTATCAAGAATTGCTTCATTCTGTAGCGGCATCCCGTTACGAGACTACGGACTGATGGATGCAACGTGGGATTAGTTAAAGCTCAATTCGGTACATGTAAACACAAAAACCTCTCCTTTGGTGATTGAGCTTAAATCTGTTATGGTGAAATTTTTGCATTGCATTCCAGCATAGTTAATAGTATGGGGTGCACAAGTATCTAAGCATATTTTTTGTCGAGGTAAGATGGAGTCAAAATTTAAAACCAACTCGCACACAGATCATCGCTTGTTTTTGCTTATTAACTCAGTTGTTGTTTTGACAGTGTTTGAGCGTGTTGTATGACGGATGCCGCAAGTCAGTGGCCTGGTTTCTCATACCATTTCCGGATAATTACTTTTCATCTTTCACTCAGTGTTGCTTTTATATTTAAAGTTGTATCCCTATGAACCTAGGTTTAAAAGTAGTTTAAGAAAAGTCAAATAACAAAGAAGAGGGAGGAACGAATCAAGATAACCATATTGAGACATCTTATAATAGCATAAAAACAGTTTGTTTATTTTGACCCTTCCTGTTGCAGTGCAACATCCTGAAGCAGGTCGTTCCATTTGCCAGTGTATTCATCATTCTGGAATCTTCAGGATTGTGCGAGTACATTTTTATTTGCACTGTAGCATTTTTGTGTATGTGGTCTGTTATGGATGACAGACTTGTACGTTTGCAATAAAACAGTTTCAATATCACAACTCTCCTTAATAGAATTGTAGGGTGTTGTCGATTGTCTCCGTGTTTGGTTTTGTTTACATTCCTCTAAGTAACACTGGGATAATTTGATCAGCTGGTCACCCAGGGGCCAATTTCATAGAGCTGCTTAGGCACGAAATTTGCGTAAGCGCAAGAAAATCTTGCTTGATAAATCAGGTAACCAGCCCAAACTGCGTGACATTGTTTTGGAATGGTATTTACCTGTCTTGATTAGCATGACTATCACATAGAGTTTTAGCTGGTAACCTTTGTTTTTTTAAGCAAGGTTTTTCATGCTTAAGCAAATTTTGTGCTTAAGCAGCTCTATGAAATTGGCCCTGCCAGATTGTAAAAGATAACCAATTGGAGTCTTTTGGATATGAACAAATATGACATCCTGCTACATATGCATTTGTATGAGGTCTGTTTAAATGGCCTTGGTTAATACAGTACTGTACACCGCACATTAGGCTCAAAAATAGAACTTCTGTTTCCTACAAGCCAGACCGATCAATTTTGCTACGTGAGGGAAAAAGAAAACACTTTCAACGTCTGCACTGATACTGATTGTAATTGCAACATATAGATATTCTGTAAGGTACAGGTCCACATTCGTCTTCAATCCCACAAATGATTTTGTTTGTCCCACATACTCCCGTTTGTCTAGCAATGAATGTTACAGTACACTTTACAACCTGTAGGCAAATTCTTAGGAGTCATTTCCAGCAATGCTTGATTCGCTAAAATTACATACATTTACAACACTGCTTGAAGTCTATTTTATCTGTGGTCAAATCTTCATTTATTTATTCCGCACATGAAACTCTTCTGCCAGGTACCAAACGAAAAGTTGAGCGTCCACCTTAATTGGTGTACAGAGAGGCATAGAAATCATCCAATTCGGGGGGGAAATAACTGCATGCTTACCTTTCCTTCGACGGTTCTTCGCAGCTGAGGGTAAGCCAGATGGTTGCAGCATGTAGGATGGAGGAATAAAAGCACAATCTTCAACGGTTACAGATATCGGGCCAAATTTGCTAATTCGATCGATGCCTCTACCCATTCTGTTCTTCACAGAGAAGTCCAATGATATAACATCTGAATGAAAGACACCTGGTCCCCATTAGGGACAAAACCTACCTCAAGTAAGCAGGGCCAACAGCGCCAACTTGAACAGCGCCAACAGCGCCATGATGTTTCCAAAGCTATCATAGATACAGGTTGTGCGGTATAAAGCATGGATAAAGTTTCCTCTGCTCGGGAAACTACAAAATTATTGCATATATAGCAACACGCGAGCGCCGGAATATTCATGTCGTACCATGCCATGGTAGCTAACCAGCCCGAATCATCAGTGAAGTTACTCAGTTTGTCCCTCGTATTGTCACCTGGTTCAACCCCCTCCTAGGAAGCAACTTGCATCATGAAGCGCTAAGAGGAGCAGTAAGAGCAACCGAACTGTACGTTGAAACTTACTGGGGCCAGTTTCATAGAGCTGCTTAAGCACAGAATTTGCTTAAGCACGAAAAACCTTGCTTAACAAAGAAAGGTTACCCCAGCTCAAACTCTTGTGAATGTGATTGTCATGCCATAGAGCTAGTAGCTCTATGGTCATGCTAACCAAAAGACAGGTAAATACCATTCCAAAACAATATACATCACAAGAAGTTTTGGCCGCTAACCTGATTTGTCAAGCAAGGTTTTTTCACGCTTAAACAATTTTTTTCGCTTAAGCAGCGCTATAAAATTCGTTTTTACTTGCACTGCCTTTATGTACACTGCGCATGACCATCAAGTTTTCTTGGCACGAAATCAAAACTTATGGGCTTATACCGGCGTCGGGAATTCTTGAGTTTGGTATCAGAAAAAGATGCAGCCTTTTGCCATGGCTTTTGAACTTAAGTATCTTGCAACAAGATCTTTTTCTTCCTTCATGCTTGCAACCACATTCACCAAACTCAGGATGTCGGAGAAATGTCAGTTACGTAATACTTTCGGAAATGAAACCTTCAGAGCGGTTGGCCCAAACTGAATAGACGTGGATAAACATTGCAGTTGTGAGGTTTTTGGCGACACCGCAAACCTTAACCTCCCGCCCAATTTCAAACTTTGTCAGGCAAGGCAGCAAAGAGGTAGGTAGTGTTCCCATGAGCATCTGTAGACCAATAATTAAAGCTGGTAATTAAATGCAGGGAAAATCAGACAAAACATTAATCGAAGGCGACTCAGTTCGTAATTAAATACACATAAACTTGTTTTATTATTTACTACACTAAACGTCTTTACAAAAGCTACATGCTGTTTAATCTTACTTTCATTATATACAATGTTGGAATTTCAAGTTTTCTGTGAAATCACGACAGGTCTTTCCTGTGGGAAAATGTCACCAAATATTGCAGTATTTTGTAAATACATGTAGAAAGCCGAATGAGTATGTACACAACTCGGTGGAGTGATCGGCCAACAGTATTTACAAACCAACACGTTAAGGCTGAGGTTTTTTTGCAAATTTGAAGTCCGAGTAGCATTTTATACACATGTACAAGTACAAGCAAAGGCAAAGTGTGAAAGAAACACAAGTATCCTTCTTACGTCTTGGCAGAAAGACAGTGTTTGATATACTGTAGACCTTAAATTCTCGGCACTTCTTGATGATAACAGAGCTTGTTTGCTTGACGGAGTGAATGGAAACTAGACTTTTAAATGGTTCATTATATTCAAAGACTGGTACAACACCAACGATAACAACATCTACACTAGTATCCCCAACGGGGAAACACTCCTTAAAAACACTTTTCATACGAATCAAAAGAAAAACTACGAATTTGAAAATTCCAAGATACAATGTGTTGCTTTTCCACAATTTTTTTTTAACCATGGTACAGAATACTTAAATCAATATACACGTATCCACAAATAAGCAAGTCTAACAAGCCGTAGTTGTACTGAACGAGTGATAAATCGTGAAACATTATTGCCACTACCTTAATGCAAAAGTAGGTTCCCAAACTTCATGCCAATAGGGAGGCAGAAATCCATTTTTGCTTTTTTTTGATAAAAACATTTTGATTGGTTTGATTTGACCAGGCTCAAAATTCAAATTTGCAGCAGTGACGTCCGGTTCTTGTCAAGCCAATCACATGTCAACCAAAAGTCTGATTACAAGTAAACACAAACGGGCAACAAAGGAGTGCTATCAGAGATTATTTGAATTTGAGAAGCTGCTGACTGGGTGGGAGATGGTAGACTTGTGAAAAACTAGAGACGGTCTTGTAGGGACTTGTCAAGTGAAGTTCCGCAGATGTAGACAAATGATACAAATCTTTCATCGGGTATAAAACACGTGGATCTTGGATGTCTTCGGCACCCAAGCGACTTCGTCCATTACTGCCCTATTCTTGATATTCTCGGAGGCATTATCTCGCCTCTGTAGTCTCTCAGATAGGGGTGCTTCAGCGCGGCTTTGCACGAGATGCGTTTGGCTGGATCGTAGATCAGCATTTTCTGGGGGGGGGGAAATGAACATAAAATCCTCAACTCAGTCGGAAGAGCTTTTTCAGTCTCACCACATGTAGACATCAAGTAAGAGCAGTCTTGGTAACATTCAAGACTTCAATGGAGTCTGTGTTAACTAAGGGTGGGACGTTTACACGTTTTAATGAAAAAAGTTTCAAATCTGTTGACAGATTTTTCCAAAGTTTTAACGGAACCGCCCCCTTTTAGAGGTTTGACATTTTGATTGAAGCAATCGAGTTCATTTTCAATGTAAATGATGCCTGTAAAATGGAATTAGATTTTCAGAGCACTTTACAGCTCGGTCATATCCGAGGAATACCTTGAATTCATCATCGGAGCTTGGTGTCAACTATTTACATTGTGTACAATTTGTTGTGTTTAAAGTTTTCAATGACACCAAGGTAATGGTGGGATGTTGAAACATTTAAACGGTATGGGAAAATTTTCTACAGGTTTTTTAAATTAAACGTAAAGTCCCTTCCTCAGTGTTAACACATCGTTTTCTCACATTGATTCAGTGTGACATGCGAAACCAGCCATGAAATATCTCAAACCTGCTCCAGGGCGTGACTGGCTGAAACATTTCTGTGCAATCACAGTAGTGAATCAACATTGAGCTTCGTAAGGTGATCTGAGTTTGAGTATTGTGCTTTCAAGAGAAATCGCTTCTGTATGGCGTCAATCAGCCAAACATTTGGATATCCATTTTTTTTTACCTGCAGAAGGTCCATCCCCTCTGGGTCCAACGTCTTGACAGACTTGGTCAGATTGTTGGTGGTCCAGTTGGGAAAAGTTGGCTTGTAGTCGGGCAACTCTGTCACCCCAGGCCATGACTGATCAGTGGGCGTGCCCAAGGTCCTGCAGAGAGATCAAATGTTGAGTAATGTAATGGTTGCTGGTGCAGTAAACGTATTTACTCGGTCTTAACCAATGCGAATCCTACAAAATTGACTAGTGCACTGGAGAGTAATAACTTCTTAACATGATATGTCAAGTGCCATCATGATCAAAACCCTGATACAGTACATACATGTTTGGATGGACCTACCTCATCAATTCTGCAAAATCCCTCATAGGCATTAAATGGATCGTGAAGGTTAAGGTTACGGAGGAGAGATTCCCCCAAAACTGCACTATTTCCATTTGTAGTGTTCCCATAGCAATCTGAAAGCCTAATTCCACGATTTTTTTTCAAGGACTTTCCAGGACTAACATTTGACAATTTCCAAGACATTTAATGCCATTTTGCAGAGAAAAGCTGCTAGGTATTATGACCTGGAAGACTGCCATAGGCACTGCTACAAACTGACAAGGACCAATCAAAATTCTCTGATTTTCCAAAATAATTCTTTTTCAGGACTTTGCTGTGATTTTCCGTGATGGGAACCCATGCATTTGTCTTTCTTTCCCCTTTCCTTTATTCCTTCAAGCCAAGCTTTTAAGCACAAAGGCTCTAAGAAATGGTATTTATTTTAAACTTTGATCCAATGAAATTGTAAGAAAGCCACACAGAATGCACTGAAATACTTCCGATGGCACAATCACTGAACTTTCCTCAAAACTTCAATATACTCTGCGCAAATTTAAGGTGGCTGCGATCTGCTCAAATGATATGCTGAACACATACAGCGTACAGCAATGCCCCACCTGAATATTCTGAAGAGTTGGTCAATCTCAGAGTCGCCGTGAAACAATGGTCTCTTGGTCACCATCTCGGCAAAGATGCAGCCTATGCTCCAGACATCAACCGGCGTGGAGTACCTTGGGGAGCCTAGGAGGACCTCTGGGGCTCTGTACCACAGGGTCACGACCTGTGCAGGGGTGGAGCAGAGCAGACAGGCGTAATTACTGTACTTTGACTGTTGTGGTGTGTCTTGACTAAACTGGAGGATCTGATTTCTTTTTTCTTACCAGACTTGATACTTTGTCCGCACACTTTGAACCTATCATGATATGCCATCATTTAAAATTTGTGACTGAATCCCTCAATTTTTTACCAGCAACTTTGAGGGCGGAACAAGGGTGACCCCATGACTGAACTTGCCGAGATGATACATTTTGAAAATTCATCGTCTCGTTCAATAAAATATTTCTGACAGTACAACAAGCTACAATTCCACACCTCATGTGTGTAGACTCGGACAGGAATGCCGAACGCCCTCGCTAGACCAAAGTCAGCCAGCTTGATGATTCCTTTCTCGTTGATGAGCAGGTTCTGCGGCTTGAGGTCCCGGTGAAGGACGCGGCGGCAGTGACAGAACAGGATTCCCTGGACAATCTGATGCAGGTAACTCTGTACACCAAGGAGGAAAAAAAAAACACTTCAGCGTGAGAATCCTAGATTCCTGTGCACACAGAAAAAACACTACCATTGTTGACGAGAGCCTCCTAGTCTCATCTCTCCACGGAAAAGTTGAAGTTTATTTTCTACAATATAACCACTTGCTGCCTGTTCTTTGGAAAGGGTATCGGCCAAGCTTTTATGCAGTGTCAACAGCGCCGCTTTGACTGGTCCCCCCAAACTTGATGGCTTGGCACTAAGTATTTGCTGGGTATTCCTGTGACGAAGGCCCGGAAACTAAGGCCAACTTGCCTCACCTTAACAAGTTCAGGGTCCATGACGGTCCCACGTAGTGTCTCCATGTACTTCTTGAGGTCCATGGTCAGAAACTCAAAAACTAAATATAGCCGATTCTCTTGCATCAGAACATTGCTTAAGCTGAAACGGTCCGTAAACAGAGGTTAAAGTTTAATGTTTAGAAATTACTGTATAAATCAGCTGTTTCTGAAATTGCGGAATAAAGTCTTAACTCCACCCACTAAATATTTTTTTCAACCTTTGTAGAACTAGTTTGCCTGTTTTGTAACATTTAAGCAGAAACGCAAAGGAAAGTTTCAAAAGAGTTGATAAAGTTTCAGCCTGGCTGCAGACTCAGCCAGGTTGACCCATCTGCTTTGGTGGAAAGTTAGAACACCATCAACAAAGTGATTTCAGGCAAAAGAAAGTATGTATGGCTTTTTTACTCATTTGCCGTAAACGACAGTACATGCACTCAGAGTGAACGATCTGGTCTGCTCACTTGACAACATTGGGGTGCTGAAGCTCCTTCAGTAGCGCGATCTCACGGATCGCCGTGCTGGGCACACCTTCCTCCTCACTCTCCAGTCGGATTTTCTTCAGGGCCACGATGCTGCCGTCCTTCTTGCATCGCCCCTTGTACACCACACCGTAGGTGCCTACGACCCAGAAAAATATTTGGAGTGGGAAAAATACAAGTGCCACAGAATTAACGATAAGTGAAGCCTTCATGCAGGTGTGAAGATTCAAAAGCCATGACACGGTATGGAATTGAGACGTGTTAAAAAGGGCAAGTAACCAACAGTAAAAGACAAAATAATATGCAATATGCAAATATAATATGCATGTATGACTGCCAGGTAATGGAATGACTAGCGTGGATGTTTTTAAGCAGTGAATCTTACCTTCACCTATCTTCTCAATCTTGGAATAGTCCTCCATTGTAAGCTGCTTCATTGTTGCTGGGACTTTTTGGTTTATACAAACTCTGTACACAGTGATGACTATACAGCTATATTACACAAGTTAGTGACTTGCACTCGACCTAGTAAATTGAAAGAAAGGAACAATGAATTCAAAAAGTGAATGTCTGAGAAACAAAGTGACAAGCTAAACAGTATTATAGGAAGAGCTCAGTAATTAAATCCTCAGTATAATATCAGTCATCAGGTCAGAAAGTGATAACATGTCCTCAGCTAACGAGTCAGATTTTGAAGGGAAAATATCAAAGTATTTAAATACACGTGAACACTTTTGAATGCCTCTTGAGGCATTTGAATAGCATTAAGTCGGTATATGTATAAAAAAAGACCGAGATGGGTGCAAGGTGAAGGATGGAGCAGTGACGATTGACGGCAAAACCGAAAGAAAGACCCGCAAGAATGTACACCATGCAACCATGACCCCAAGTACAGTGCTGTATACTTTTACAGAAAAAAGCATTTCAAATTTTCAGCAAAATGAAAATACCACATTATTTCAGTCATGTATGTTTTACTTGTGCTTGCTTCAAATATCTTTTGAAGTTTTTAGGCCTGTGTGTCAAAAAATGACTGCAGGATGACCAAGGACAGGGAGGCTCATAAATTTTTCAACTACTTTTTTGTTTTCTTTTTGTAGCGATCTTGGAGAGGATGACACGAGAAACTCTGAAAAGCAGAGAAATATTTATTTGAAGCAGGGATGTTTTTTGTGTATAAATGCAGAGCAATTCACGTGAAATTGTGATTATTTTGTACCCAGAAATAAGTATGGCTTTCAACTGAAAAGCAAAATCATATTTTAATGAAGTGTTTGTTCTTTATTTCAATGAATTAAATCTTGGCTTCACTTGAAATTTAAAAAATTTTAAAATTGGAATTTAAATAGGGCCTAGAGGAGCTATGGTAAAGGGAGAATCGTGGACTGAAATTTAAAACAGCCCAAGGCGAACAAAGCAAAAATTATCTAGTTGGGGCAAAAACTTAAAGCCTAAAATTGAAATGTGACTTAGGCTAAACATGCATGACAATGCTGCTGAAAAGGTTAGGCCAAGGGCGCAGGCCTTTACCATGTTAACCCGAAGCTGCACCTTTCATACAGATATGCGTCATTGCAATTCTCAAGCATTTCTACATATAATGTGTCATAACGAATCGAAGAATTCAACATACATGTAGTTTAAAACTAATGAAACATTTACAAAATAAGCCTAGTTTAAGGCACGATGTGTAACAAAGTCAAAGATAAACATGAACCATGTGAACGTAGTATATGTGCATGTACATGTACGTGGCCTATGCGGACAATCGCGGGCCCAGACAAAGCGATCCAAAATGAACATCCAGTTCAGAAGTGCATATCACTCTTCCCTGGAACATTATATAACACTCGATCAAAGAATACTCTACACATGCTATTCAACAGCTTAATTCTTAAAAACTGCCCTTTTTGGAACAAAATCTCCCGAAAATATCACCGACACCTCACGCAACACTCACCTTAGACCATTTAAACCTCCGCGCTGCGCAGCTGATGAATCGTGAGTGTGGGCCGCGAAGTTCGAAGTAGCGAATCGGAACCGTCGTAGAACGCCAGTGGACCAATCAGCGTTAGGGTACGCGTATGACGTAAAGGGCGGCCGGCTTAAAGGGCGCCCTCTTTTGGACGTGGAAGAACAATGAAAGGGGTGTGCCTATTTGAGAAAAAATTTATTTCAACGAAAAACCATCGAAATGCGGGAAGGGGAATGAATTAAAACAATAAATGAAGCCCATTTCACGCAGTGTATTTACACTCCATAGAGTCGAAGTCGTATCAGCATTCTTTCTGCCTTTGTATTTATTCCTTTTTGTGGGGGAGGGGAATGTAAGAGAGGTGGGGTGGGACGGTACATGTATCATACTCCACAGGCAGTCATTCTGGAGTTTCCAGGAAGGCCGTGTCACATTCTCTCGACATCTTACAGCACATGCCGAGTATTAAGAAAAACTTTAAAAACAATCCTCCAATATTTAAAAAATTTCATCACAAAACATATATCCGTTTTATTAACTGTGAGATAATGCAAGATTAATGTCTGCTAAAATAAAGAAAATAAGGAAATGTGATTTATCATATCTCTAACAAAGGTTCAAATCGGAATTCAACAGACGAGATGTTAATTTTAGCAGATATTTTCATGACCAATATATCGGTCATCTTAACTCATATTTTTCAAAAAAAGGTGAATGTAGCATTCTGTGATGAAACTCTTCGTTTTGTAAAAATTTGAAAAGAAACTTTTGAGAAAATACTTTGTAACTATTCCACGAACAGACAAACATCCTGTAAAAGTTGTCATGTTATTTTTCTTGCCTCAGTGTCATGATCATCACATAATCATAAATTCATAATTTACCCACTAAGGTATAGAAATCATTTTTGCCATAAAGTAGGATACTTGTCATCGAGAAAACATACTGGTACACTGCCGTCTTTATTATTTCACAACACTAAAAGATACTTTTGGATCAATTATGCAGTACTGATAGCTAACAAATATTTCAAGTGTTACCTTGTCGGCACACCCAATTTTGATCTTATGGCCTTCAATGACATGACCTAACTCATGATATGTGAAAATACCACAATTTCTGTGGAGATGGGGGCTGTTATATCCCTACTTTTTGTTTGGGATATGAGTCATGAGATTATCCACCATTTTGGTGGTGATGTCTTCCTGAACTTTCCAAAAGTTACACGTTTTTGGTGTGTTGTTTAATGAATGAAACCCCCCCCGTGTGATTTTTCACCCCTTCACTTCAAAGTTGTTGGGCTCAATAAGTAAGATAGGGCCATCAGAACACCTGTTAACATGCAATATCCAAATATTGAAGTATTTTTATATGAAAGGCATGCATTTGGGGATTGATTTTAGAGATGAAGCCCGAGAAGTAGCTGAAGCCGGGCACTGGAAACCGAAGAACTGTTTAATACGGATTAAATGCACCTGCTAAAAACAGTGAGCATTTCTTAAATGCACATAATAAGATGCGCATTTCTATTATAAAAACCCCTACCGGCTTTTCTTTTATGCAAGAATGCCCTCTGTTGGGCTCTAACATATGGTGCTATAAAAATGTCACTAAGTGTAAGTCAGGTCATTTGTATGGTGTGCCCACTGTAACAAAATAGGGTACTCAATCTGCACATGACAATGATGAGCAAACACCACTTCTCATCATTTTGTCTTCTCTGGTTACACTGAATTATGGCAGGTTTCAGTTCCTCAGACAAGCTTCACTCCTGCCTTAAAATTGTCCTCTCATAAGTAACGCGAGTCCAGGAAATCAAAGAACTGTTTTCCGACAACAAGGAAACACAAGCTCGCCGACATGGCATAGAGCGTTCCGACCAGTTTGTCCTCTGTCAGCAGCTGCTTCCCGGTGGCAAAGAGCAGGACAGAGCCAAAGTTGAACATGGCCGAGCTGTAGACACTCCAGAGGACCCGCTGTTGAGTGGACGCCGATCGGAGGCAGGGGCGGTTGAAGACGTACAGGCCAATCCCCAGGTGGGAGTTGAAGAGGAGGCTGTTGGCCACGCCCAAGTGCCATTTGGGAAACAATCTGTGCATAACAAGAAAAGTCAGATGCTGGGAAAAATTGTTGTAATGTCCCTGAGTAGATCGGGGGGGGGGGACAAGGCCACCTCCCTCCCAACCCCAAATAAACTGTAATTTTTTTAAGGAGCGAAAGGCTTGTTTTCCTCTTATTTCAGTTCTTTTCCTTCCCCAAAACACTTTAAAAGGCCTAAAATGTACCCTCAGCCCTCAGAAAGACCATAAAAAGATACATGAAAAAAATGTCTAAAATTTTGGTCCCACCAAAACACGTTTGGCCCCTCCCCGGCCCCACGGCACTGGCCCCCCAAAATTGGTCCTGGATGCACCCTTGATTATGTCTGTAACCATAAATATTTCTAAATGTAACTTCCAATGAAAAACATGAAGCACTAAGCAACATACCATAGCAGGTGACAAAAAGCATCCTAATCACTAGAGTACAAGCCCCATCAATTGAACCCCCCCCCCACAACAACGACCCATGTTTTGCCCTAGCAGGTCAGGGTGGTTTTCCTGGGCCCTAGGCCTATGTGATTTGTACAAGTCACTACAATATACCATGGAGGTAGCCCCCAGTACGGCGCTAAGACTTGATTCTTACCCTGGCAGAAGGTTCCTATCTAATATATGCATGGCGAATAATGTGTGGCTTGCAGCTCCCACTATGGGCAAATACGAGAAGCAGATCTTGTCTAAAATTTGCCTCCCCGACATGCCCGGGCCCGAAGCAGACTCTTCTGACTTGGAATCTGCCATCTTGGATATGATATATAGGAATGAGAGAGGGCGCGCTCATACAAAGGCCGGGAAGTACAGCGGCAATCGATATTAATCAACCACGAGTGCTTCTTACCGAAGAGACTACTAACTTGCCCCATGATGCCAGCTGATCGATCGCTTTCCATCCTTGGCTGCACCACTATATAAAATTCGTGTTTGGTGTGTTTAACGTTCTTCTGATTTATTGCTTTTTTGTGTGGTGCTAAAATAAAGTAAAACTATAATTAAGGCAAACAAGCAATCACACACGGCATCAACCAGAAACATTTTTTTTCAACTCAGAATTTTAAGTTTTTTATTTCTCATCAAGCATGATTTTTTGTAATGTTCCTTTATACACTTTATGATTCACAGAATTTTGATGTTTAAATTTTACACTGTTTCCCTACACCGATTATTGAACCCAGGATACAAAAACCCGAAATAAGATAATTTAGGAATTTTTTCAATTATCATAGGCATGTTTTTCTTTTTGTACCGTGAAAAATACTAACACAATTAACAACTGTCAGAGTAAAATCTCATTAACAGCAGTAATTCAATATTGAATAAATATAATTTGAGTACTCTACTACTCCAAATCTCAGGACTTTTGCTTATTCTTAGAATGATTTCTTTCTTGTATGGAAATAACTTTTTACTTTACATAATAAATTCCTTGAAAAGTTCCACCCCTGATCAGTAGTGCCCCATTCAACTGTGTTCCCTCGAACGCAGAACTTAAGAGGGTGTACATGAACATTGCCGTTGTAATATCCGGTATGATTTTATCCGGCTTTAAGCTTCAAAAAAATGTCTTGCTCAACAGTGATGGTTCCTCGACAAAATACTGTAAACCTCAATTTCGAATTTTTTTTTTCAATTTTTATTTTTCTCTAAGCACACAAAGAAATTTGCTTAGAAACATAAGTTCCCTCTCAGCAACCATGCCATCTACAAATTGGGCCTGAATAGGGTCTCAAACTTCAGCACTGGACCAGTATACGTAACTTATATGCCCTCCTCCTTAAACTCACTGGTATAGACCCTTACCATTGGGCAGCCACCATCTTGCTTTTCTGCCATTCAAACGCAAGGTAAACAAACTGAGTATGGAAGGGGAAAGAGTCTGTTCCCCTTTATCGATATGATGTTTTATTAGCATTGCCAATGGGTCTACTGGAACAAGACAAACATGGTAGCATTATGCATATGATAAAGATCTATATGCAGGGAATTATCCCCTGAAGCGATTCTTCAGGGAACGGAAGAGGCCGGCGAGTGGTCCAGTTTTCTGGGGTCTGTTCAGGCGCTCATAGTGCATGAGTGCGAGTTCCTGCAGCACTGCATCCAAGGTAGGTCTCAGATTTGGGTCCTTGTTGATGCAGCGTTTCCCAAGGGCTTTGAGGCAAGATGCCCGGCCAGTCTCAGAGACGATGTCCAGGAAGAATTGTCCCAAACTGTAGACATCGGATTTGACGTTGTAGCGACTGGTGCCTTTAATGACCTCGGGGGCCAACTGTCCACAGTCTTTGAAGCACTTCTTTTCCTGAGTTGGGGTCAGTTGCTGTGGCGGGGGAGGGTTGTCGATACGGTAGGCGTAGCCAAGGTCGATGATTTTCCCTTCCCAGCCCCCTGATTGGTCCTCTGGATCCCGCCACACCATGACGTTGTCGGAATGCAAATCGTTGTGGGTCCAACCTGCCGCATGCATGTCTTGCAGTCCTTGGGTGACGTCAGTGGCCACTTTCAGCCAATCGAGGGACTTCATCTTGCTGGATCGCTTCCGGAACATCTTGTAGGCGCTGCAGGCGTTCTGCTTGTCGAGGTCTCCAAGGAACTCCATGGCGAAGGAGTAGCGGTCCACGATCCCCAGGAATTTGGGGAAAGCACTGCTGGAGGAGACGGCGTTCATGGCCTGCGTCTCCCTCTTGAACGCTTCCTCAGCCTTCAGTCGGTTCCCGACTTTGGTCAGACGCTTGACCGCTATCAGAGTACCGTCCGTGCAGTTCTGCATCAGGGATACCTCTCCGAAACTCCCACTGCCGAGTTTGACTGTGGAGTAGGAATGTCCCTTCCGGGACATGACAGGGGTGAGATCAGCCTTATCGATGCGTGGCAGAGTACCAAGCGATCCAAGTTGAGTTGGGGAGGTCTGAGGCTGTTTATTACCCCGAGTACTCAGGCAAGGCTTGTGGATCATTTCGGTTTGATTTACTGGGTTATTTCTGGAGAAATAAAAAGACGAAAACGTTCATCTTGTTATATTTTCATTACACTCTAGGGTTAACCTAAGTTCTGAAAGTAGAGCAGACAAGGATTTCTTTAAAAAAAATCAACGTTGACACTTTTTTAAATCGTAAAATATGTTTTGATTGGTGAATTGGTTGTACCTTTGTGAAGACCCAGGACCAGCTGTGATTGGGGTTTGCATCTGGTCGAACAGCTGCTGAGCTTTTTCAGCATTCTGTTTGTTTTCCTAAAAGGGAAACGAATTATAAAGAGTAAATGAAAAGAGTGACTGATAGGGAGGCTGTGCTGGGAAGACAGTCTCTTCAAAGTCAGAGTTTGAGCTTTTGCTGTCTGTGTTCACAAAATGCACTTTTTGCCTGTTGACTGTGAGATAAAACGTCCATGTTTTCTTCCATACCTCCACATGTGGACCTTGTTCTTCTTGGGTCAGGGAGATATTGGCACGGACAGCTCGTTGGATGTGATCAGTCACTCCATTCGCAACGGCTGTCTTCTCAGACCGAGACATCTTGAGCATCTCACAGGGTGTCATATTCAGCTATCAGAGGACGAAGAAAGATGCACATAGGTTGGTTTTTCTTCAAGAAAAGTTGTACAAGTCTTAGGCGCACTGGTCTTAACCGTTCAGACCCAACTTTTTTGCGCTCGACATAATTTTTGTCCCGACACAGAACTTTCCCCTGTAAATTTTAAAATTGTTTATTTCTATTTACTAAGTCTGGCAGTGGTTGTGCAGTCTTGTTGTCAGGAAGCGGGGTGGTTTCACCAGCGCTGCCCTCTCCTGCTTCCTTCATCTTCCCTGGCGGCTCAGGATCTCTGTCCTCCTGAGGCACTGTCAATGATCTTGGGAAGGTTTCGTCAGTGGACGACAGGTTGTTTCTTCCCTTTGTGGGCTGTGCGATGTCACAGCCGACATCTCTTCCCTCTGGTTGTTGATCACCTTGCCCAGATCTTTAAAAACAAGCACAAGAAAAACAAGCAGGTATGTATTTTTGAGCACCTTATGAAATTAGTGAAGTTCTTAAATCGCTGATTCAAAAGATAATCAAAATTTCCCCAAGACATCCATTTGTCTGCCTGTCTTCCACTACCACCTTGGATGTTTAATATTGTACTGCTCTGGGGTAGGAAAAGTACAGCAAAATGACTTGGTTTACCTCTCTGGGCATGTGATAGCTGGAGACTGACCAGAAAGGACCGGTGAGTGACCAGTTAGCTTCAATGGTCGCACCACCTTCTCGGTGATTTTAACCGAGGGACATTTCAGCGCCTGGGCGATGGCATCGTGGCGGACTGCTGCCACGGGTTGAGGAGACGCCAAACGGTAGGCGCTCAGGGATCTGAGGAGCAAAAAGTTAATTATTTAAAGCTCGGACCCTTGACATAAATCATAACTTAGTAGGCCTTTGATGTTTGAGGTACAGGTATATTTTAACACGAAGACCTATGCCTGTAGGGGTGTCCAAAAACAGGCCTCTAGAGCTCACGTGTTGGCAACCAGCAACGACAGTTGGGCTAAGCCCTGGACACTAGATTTTTGGTCACATTCGCATTAACAACATTCCAAATGATTTAACCCATACATTCATCCAACTACTTTAAACTTTGTATTAGACAAATTTCGAAACTTCTTCAGTGAAGTCGGGTAGGTTACATGTATTTGCATCGATGAAAAAGTTTCAACTTGGTATTAATGGACGAGTTCGAATCAAAAAGGACACCGACAGAAATGACCAAACTCACCGGAATTTCTCCGAAGCATACCCTGAAGCAAATCGAAACATGGTGTTACAAAGTTTCTCTCTCCAAAAAATCGCAAGTAGATCGCAAAACAAGACAATCTCTCGAAAGAGTCGCTCGTGAGCAAGAACACGTGTTTACACCGCAAACTGTAAACTGGAACTGAGCCACGTTTGTTTGGTAAACATAAAAATCGTCCAGGTAACTACGCATTTCGATCTTCACCATGTTCACGCACATGAAGGTATTGTTACGCAACAGTTTCAGGTTCTTGCCTATGATAATACGAAATTGTAACGAATACACTGCGCAACATATGGTACGCGATGTTATGCATTCCGGCTTCCTGGCTAAATTATAGTAAAAATATGAAAATTACCTTTAGCTGAAAGCACGACCACCTCATTTATACCGTTCTGATCCTTTGCTTTGTAAACTGTTGTAAAAACACAGCAAACGCCACGCAAAATTTCGCGCGTATATCGGGCGCACCACGCCAACCTTAACGCAGAACTTGATTGCGACGCGCGCCACACACTGTGGTTCGGGCGCGTCTTTAACGAGCACTACTAAAGCGCCCTCCCACAGCGCAAACATTTCCGTGTTGTGCATGCTCAGTTATTTTGCTGACATTTTACGAACAAAATAATTCGCAGCGTCGATTCCGATCAGCCGAGTGACAACTCGGACCTTTGGCTTTAACATCAGGGAGAAGGTTGTTATTCACGAGTCAGCGAATCTAATTGGTTGCTTCCGTACCGTGACGTATCCTGCCTGTTTATGCTGATTGGTTCAATGTTTCATCCACAACGCCGCCATCCGCATGCACGATGTTGCCAATACGGATGGACCCCAGTAGGCGTTTGATAAAGGATTTGACGAGAAACACTCACGTTATTGTACAGAAATAAAATTATTTTCATTCCGTCTATAAGAAATCACAAAAATAACATCCATAAAATCGTCTACTCATTAATTTAAACATGGCCTACACAATAAAAAAACTAATTCAAACTAATATTTTGTCTAAGCAAACAGCCAGAACAAGTAACTTAAACTGTGTGACCTTAAAACTAGTTGTTCTGTGTTTAATATTTGTATTGAATAGGAAATATGTGGCATGCACTACATATTAAGTGAAATCAGACTTTCATGCAATCCAAATCCAAATTTATGACTAAATTATAAGACAATAAAGATATACATGTACTATCAGCATATACAAACAATTAAAACAGTTGAAGTATTTCAAATACAGGTCTACAGCATGCGGGAACATTGGGGTTGACACAATAGGCAACTTTCCCCAAATGTTTACCGGTTTTCGTCAAGATTCATAATGAATTACAACTTAAGCCTGCTTGATGTGAGCTACTGATTCATAAATAATCGACTATTTTATGTTAATCACACAGGCTCAACACATTATTTTTAACTTTAAAGAAAAACCACACGGCAGGAGTTTACACTTCTTAAAAACAGATTTCCACAACTGTAATCCTTTGAAGACGGCCAGAAATCACTCTGAGTTACACCTACAGGTAGATGCACGTGAAGAGAATGTGTCAAAACTCGGCCTGTTAACTGTCTCTATCTCTTGAGGTACACGTACCTGACGTGTCCACTTGTCTTCCAGTCTTAAATAATATAAAACACATGCAGTGACGTGAATGGAAGCGTTTACCACGTTTTTCCCATTATCTCCAGAACTTATCTAACATGACATTTAGGTGTATTAGATTGTAACAGTGATGCTCGTGTGTCACCGTTAAGTACGCTGAATCAAGCCTGTTTATATATGTTATTATATATGTTATTAGCCCCGATGAACACATCCACTTCATCGAGTGAAACCCCTGGTAGTTGCACAAGGCTGAAGGTGCCAGCATCAAGATGATGTGGTCTTGATTCAAGAATGTGTTTTCCAGTTGATCTCAGCTCTTTGATAGGATGTACGACTATGTTCTTGAAAATGGACCCTATGATGAGGGTTCCTGTTATTTTCACTGAGCAGAAAGTTTGTCGAAGGTCTTCAACTCAAAAGTGGCCCTGGCTAGTTGTGACTCATTTCGTTAGGTTGAATCACAATAGGGGTGTTTCACAATAGCGTGCCTCCAAGAGTTTACAACGCGTTGGCCAATCACAATGCGCGAAATTTGTCGACCCAATCCGCGTTTGGAAAGGGTCGACGGATTTCGCACACTGTGATTGGCCAATGCGTTGCAAACTTTTGGAGGCGCACTACTGTGAACTGCCCATATTGAAGAAACCTTGTGACGAAAAAAAAACAGCAAAGGTACACCACCCCTACATCGCATCACTGCATGCAACAACTGGTTTGATACACCAGGATATCGCCTGAAGACTGCAGAGTTTCTTCAGTACATGGCCCATCTATACTTCCAGAAATTTCAAGAGATTCCCAGAAATAATGCCCTCTTCATTCTACCTTAAAGGCGCCACACAAACGCCTCTCACAATTCTCCTCTTCATTTTTACAACGAAGCATGTGAGGAGCTTACTTTGATGCTTCGTTTGTAGACACTGTCAACTACTCTTTGTTGCTTCATTCTGAAACTTTGAAACACTCAAATTTAAACACTTCTTTTGAAAACTAGAAATAAGACCAGCTGTTTGCAGAACAGTTTGCCTTCAGAGGTTTCTCTGTACACAACGTGTAACATGCCCAACTATAACATTTATATACACTCTAATGACACATATCAAATACTCTATGAAATAAATACTTATAGCAATACTGTTTTTCGATCAAAAATAGTCCATTCATTTTTGTAGCACTTCACTTTTTTGTGCTGCATTGTAATATACCACTGACGTTGCCACCTTTAATGGGATTTCGCACATCCCCCGCTATTCTGTAGAGAAAATGAAAACTTCAATGCCATCTGAGGAGACGTGTGTGTGTGCATACATGTACAATGCCATGCCCCCATTGCAACTGGTGTGTAACATACCCTTTGATTTTTGCAGTTGCAACAGCTCCGAGACAGTGTTGTAGT